TTTTTAAAACCTGTTCTGTTGACCGTTCCAGTTTTACGTTAATTAATGTTTCAGATGGCGTTTCTTGCTTTTTTTTCCTAAATTTTAGAGTTAATTAGTTCATTTTTCATTTATTCAATAATTTTATTCCTTTTGCATTCATTGATTAGCCGCGGCCAAGCAAAGATTTTTATGGCAAACTTTTAGGATGAAATTCAAAATTTTTGCTTTAAATGATCTTAAATTTTCGAATTAAAATCTTAAGTTTTTCATGAAAATTTTTTAATTTTTTTAAAATTAAATTTACATTTTAATTATTTTACAATAATATTGCCACTTTTATATCGTTTATTATTTAATAGTAAAAATATTTTTGAATTATGGCGATAAATTTTTCATCGAATTCACAAATTATTCCTACCATTCAAAATTTCAAGTAAAAATTCTTTGAAACAAATCATGAAAGTAATTTTGAAAAAAGGTAGTCTGAGATTTTGAAAAGCCTTTTGCTTTTTCGATTGCGGAATATGAATCACTTCTAGAGGAAAAAATTATCGAATAGTAGAAGAAGGAGGAAAATAAAATTTTCTTGTTGGAATCGAAACTGCAATCCATGAATACAAAATTTTCTAAAAGAATGAAATATTTCATGCAAACGGCGTCGATTATTGTTAAAATAATTAATTTCGTGAATAAATGATTGATTTCATCGGATTCATTCATTCAATCATTTACATTTTTTTCGGCGTTTATTTCGAATTCTTATCAAGTATAATTTAGAAAAATGATAAACTTTTTTGTATGAATTTTGCCATGATAATATCACTTCATAGTTTAAGAGAATTGATTCGAATCTTATCAGTGTCGCTATTTTTTCGCTGTTTAATAGTTTCAAATTTTTTCTGAGAAAAAACTTATTATGATTTTTGATATATTTATTATTAGAGATAGTGCAAAAATTCTTTAATTTAATTCTTCATAAGTCGTTTTAAATGAGGGAATCTTTTCAAGCAGCATTTGAAAAAACAGGTTATCTGTCTGTCTGTTTTTTATGCCACAGTATTGAATCGAAATAACTTAGCTTTTCATCCTAAGTTATATTATGTAATATTGTATGTGAGTACCATAGTATTATGGATAGAGACCACCAATAGCACTGGAATATAATGAGTTTATTAAGTACCAGTTATATAGGGCAAACACTGGTCGAATATAGGTCAGATATGGATTCGATATGAGTTAGATATGAGTCCGATCTACTAAGGTGTAATGTTTTTAACATAAACTATTTTAATTGCACATTATAATAAAATTACGAATAAAATGAATAATAAAATGAAATTAATGATGGATTGTGAAAAAAATTTCGCGTGGGTGTGAATTTTTAGACTTATAATCAGTGCCTACGATTTATGTATGCAGATTTTAAATTTATTTCTAGGAGCAATAATTTTTAAATTTTTTTTTATGGAGGTTTTCGTATTTAAATTTAAGGCAATTAATTCGGTTAGCGTTTTAAATTTTATATTTTCAAAAAATTTATATTTATTCAGCTTTCTTCTTTCTTTTTCTTCCAACAGCTCACATAATTACTGGTTAGATTCCACTAATGATGTTTAATCTTCTTAAATTCTATATAATAAATAATAAAATATTTAATAAATAATGAATATTATTTAATAATAATAAATATTAAATGATGATATTATATAATAATAAATATTCCATTATTATACGCTTTTTTTCTGGTTTTGAATTTTTATTGTCAAATTTTCTATTAAATAATAATTATCGTAACTTTTAATAAGTGCATAATAATAGAATATTTATTAATAACTTTGTTTTAAAGAAAGGATTTGAAAAATGTTTATTGCAACAAGTTTAAATTGATGAATTTCGTTAAAATCCAAAAAATAACGATATAAAAATTAAAACAGATTTCTAAATTTTATTAAAATAAAATAAAATAAAGTTAAATGGAAATCAGTACTCAAATAAATAAATCAGTACTCAATAAAAATATTAAAGAATAAACCATAAATATACAATGAATAATAACAATAATAATAAATTAACAATGATTAAGTAAAGTAATAATAATAATGAAATAAATGATTAAAAAATAAAATAAACAAAACAAATTAAAATAAATAAAATGATTCCATGTAAATAAAAAATAATTTTTGATTTTGTTTGAAATTTTTCCTTTTCTTTTAGTTGCTTGCTCAGTCACATATTTTCTTATTAATTTTTATATTTGTATTTATACATTTACGTGTTTATTTACTCGCTTACTTACTTTCATTCACCTAACTTTTACTTTTACTTACGTTGATCTGACCAAATTCTTTTCCTTCTAATTCACTATTCTCACTATTACTATAATTAATTAGTTAGAAAACTTTACAGTGTAAAAAAAAATCAGTAATTTTTGAATTTTTATCATTTTGTCACTTTTTTTGCTGATATTATTTTTATATTTCGAATATTTTAAAATTTTTTAAAGTAATTTTGTTGATATAAATATTTTATAATTTTTTTTCTTGTTTGTTTTGTTTTATTTTTAGATGTTTTATTTTTATAATTGAAATTTTATTGAATTAATTTTTAAAAAATCGATGGAAAAACATAAAATTTGATGAGAAAAGACGAAGAAAGAATAGAATGAAGATGAAGAAAAGGCAAATAGCAATCGAACGAGTCGCTCAATAAGAAAAATTGCATATCTTTTCGAATTCGCAACGAATTCATCGTCCACAAAGAAATTTCAGTATTTTCTATTATTATACGTTTTTTTTTTGCCTTTGAATTTTTATCGTCAAATGATTATTCCTTGACAAAATTTGGCATTTGATTCGAAGTGGCCAAATTGTCTTCTTCTTCTAACAGCTCTCACCATTACTGGTTAGGCTGGCTCCAACGGCTACAAAGGTCAGATGCTTTCAAGCGGCGTGGTCTGGTGATATCGTCGAGAGTAATGGAAGCCATTCCTTTTTCCATCGTTTAAGTTCATATATCGCTGGTCCATCTATACGTTCAAAATCTTTCCTGACCGTACCAGTTCAGGTCTTGATTGGTCCGCCTCGCCTTTGACACCATCCACCACACGGTTTGGCAAATAACGAAATATGCGACAACTCTTGTAATGGACGACGGAGAACAATGCCTAACAGTCGAAGGCGACGTTCTCTAATAACATTATTAATGCAAGCGGTATTTGAATGAAGATGGATGCGATCATGTGAGATTTTATCCGCTCGGCGAACCCGTAAAATCTACCTTAGACATGAGTGGTCAAATCCTCCACAAGCCTATAAATGATTACCAGCAATAAAGGGCCAACGAATCTTTCAAGGCGCTTCTCAGAGATATATGCAACATTCATAAAATTCAAATAAATATATTTTATATAAAAAATATATTTAATATATTTTTATAAAATTTGATATATTTTTTTATAATTTAAAATAACGAATTGTTTCAACTATTTTACGGATTATTTTAAGTTAGCTAATATCTAAACGTTTTTCTAAAAATTTCATCAATGTTTACTATTAGTTATTCGCTCTTTCGTTGGTTTCTCTCTTCAAATACGAAATAGATAAGTCATCAATTTTACTTATTTTATTCGTATTGACCAATTTAAACCGTTGAATGAAATACGAGTCTCATTCACTCTCTTTTTATATATTAATTAATTTTTCTAATTTTCTTATAATAATAGCAAAAATAATAATAATAGTAATAATAATAATAATGATAATAATAATAATGTTAATAATAATATTGCGAAAATGAGATCGCCTCTTATGTATTGATTATTAGTCCAACAGAAAAGGTAAAATTAATTATATGAAGAAGAGGATTTGTCCAAATTCCGAGAAATCCCACATTGTCTCTTTGGATACTCTTTTCGACTGGAATTATCAAATTATAGTGGTCGAACAATAGATTAGTTCCATTTGTCTAAGTTGATTTGTATTAGCAAATAATATCCATCGTCGAATTTTATTTGCTCCCAATAGTTAATCGATAATCCAATCAATAGATGATAATGATATTATTCCCTAAGGTGGTACCAACGATAGGAAAAATGGAAAATATTAGCTCGTCGACAGTTGCTCAATTAAAATTGGCGAAAAAAATCTATAAATATTAGATTATACCGATTTTTTTAAATATATATTTATTTAGAAAGGACGTAATTCAATTTGCAAAGACCATAATCTTTTTGCTGTTAGGGATAGAATGGCTCAGTGGGTTGTTGCTCAATTGGGAGCACCGATACTGAGGTTCGGTTCCCCGCAGGAGGAAACCTGTACAAAAATCCGGGTGATGCTGGCTACTCATTTGTATTTCTATCGCTGTGGGGCTTCCTGGCTTATTGTCCAATGCGACAAGCCAGTGGAGCGAGTCGAATCATTGGTGAGGACTCTTTAAAAAAAAAAGTCGTTTCGCTGTGTAAATAAAAATAATATAGGGAGGAGATATCACTAGCCATCCTTCAGGATTTAGACTTAAATGACAAATTCATTACCGTTTAAGGGATTGGAATCTTTTTCTGCTTGTTTCTGAAGAAAACAATCTAATAACGACATCTGGCGAATTTTTTAGTTCCACGTTTTTTCATTTCATTATGTTGCGATTATTATTTTATATCCATAGTTTTTTTCCGGTTTCCGATTTTTTTATTCTATTTTATTATTTATTATTTGAAATATTAAAATATTTTTCGTTCGAATTTTTATTTTATGAAATGAATTATATGAAATTCGAGTTTTCGATTTTTGATATGTATCGATTATGTTGCTATCGATTCTCTTTTTAATCCTTTGTACTATTAAAAATATTTTATTGGAGAATTGCGCTATCCGGAAAGTTTTTTAGGATATTTGCAATCCGGAGAAGCTAACTTGTTGTCCGGAAAATTTTCTTTACGAACCGATAATTTTTTTTTTAGTGCATTTAATAATTATTAATTTATAAGTTTATTTTTAGTTTTGATAAAATTTGCATTCATAATGCCTCTTACTGCAACTGATTGCCCCAAAGTTTGCTGTTCAGTTATTATACCAGTAAGTTATTTTATTTAGAGGCTTTTTAAATTTTTATATATATTTTTAATACCTTTATTTATAGAAAAATGCCTTTGTCAGCCCCTATGGGTGGTATGGGTCATCCTCAACCTCACCAAAATCCCAGGAGCGCAATATTTCAGTTATATTTTTCTGGGCCATATATATATAATTATGAATAAAAAAATTCATTTTAAATCTTTTTTGATATGTATTGTAAAAGATAAATAATTTTAAAACCAGTTTATCTTTTGTTAAACAATTTTATCAATTTTTATTAATTTTATTAATTAAATCAATTTTGTTATTGATCATTGCATAAATTTGTTATTAAAATAATTATAGATTTCCGAAAATTGCGATTTTATGGTTTTATAATAAAGAATTGAAGCAAATATAATTTGGCTTTTAATATTTAAAAAATATAAATTTATTTGCAAAAAAATATTTATAAAAATATAAATTTATAAAATTATCGTTATATTCTATTGTGTATTATCTTAGTAGGATTATCATTGGGGTCATGCTTGTCGAGTGATACGTTAATTTGACCAAAGTCGGATCCATCATAGATTCGATCCCCTACCCCTCGATAGGAATAAATTTAAAAATGAGATTTGGATAGTGCTGTGGGCTCATTTATATTTCTATATTCCCCAGTTATTTATAGATAAAGATAGGGAGATTTCATTAGCCATCTATCCGGATTTCAGAGGTTAGGGTTAATGCCAAACCATAAGTGGTATTGTTGGAATAAAGATTCTAAGGATTCAGGAAATAGTTTTTGATTTCCTTTTTTTTCTTTTTCTTGACATTTTCATTTTTATCATTTTACCTTAACATTTTCCTTATCTTTTCAGCCAATTGGTGTGTTTGCCGAGAAGGGTTGCAGTATTCATCTCCTTATCAATATTATCTTAACATTACTCGGTTATATTCCTGGCCTTATTCATGCTTGCTACATTATTGTGAAATACTAAAAAAAAAATTTTCACTCTAATTCAACTCGAAAATATATATTTTCAATTCAATTATTCATTATCAATGTTTTAAATCCAATCGCTTCAACTTTCTTTTTTTTTCTTTTCAATTGAATCAATGAATTTTTACGAATTTCTAATGAGATTCAACAAATATCTAAAAAAAAAAATATTGCCAAATTTATCTAAAATTTTTTTTTAAATTTATCATTGAAATTTTTCGGTTGGATTCATATGCTATTATTCAATTTATTGGTCATTTCGCCTTTCAACTCGTCTATTTTATGGTACCACAAAAAGGAACGTCATTTTTGCATTGATAAAAACTCGCAGAACTCGAAAATATTTGATTTGATAAATAAAATGATTTGTAGTTATGTTTGAATGAATTTTTTCACAAAGAAATTTTTTCTTTCACTTATATAATCTATTTTTTAATTAAATATGAATCATATTTTAAAATAAAAATTATATAATATTTAGTGTGTACCACTATGCTTACGACAAAAATTCATCTTTTATCAATTGATAACATTAGTTTAAAAACCACTATCATTGATTACTTATGAATTTGTTCACAGTGAAATAACAAATTAATCGTATTAATCTTTAAGTAAATGGGACATGAAATGGCTCAGTGGTTTGTTGCTTCCACGTCAGAATATCAATGTTGTGCTTCTACTCTTGTGATAAGTGAACTTGCTTTAAAGATCCGAATGGTGATGGCAATCTGCCTGTGGTTTCCAACCTCTCTGATTCCCATTAAAATTTGCCTATTCATATAGAACAACGGGTCTAATCGAGAGCACTGCTAAGAAAATAAAATCATAGAAAAATAATTAGTATGAATTAATGTGAAATAATTAGTGTAATAATTACAAAATTGTTCATGGACTCAAAAATCCCTCATTATTTCTCTTGAAAGTGGAAAGCAGATTAGTAGATTGTTTGGCTAGAAGCAAACAGTATTGCTTCTCCTATCTCTTTGCATTATAGCAAACCCATCATTAAAAGTAGAATCCAAATAATTGCTGGTTAATCCCACTTACCGCTCTTGCAAGCTAAGTAGTTGCTGGTACTCTCATTTGTTGCTCTATCTCCAAGTGTTTCTGTCCTGAGAGAAAAGCAAGATTACTCCACGGTACCAAATCAAACCAATATTACTTATGGTTTTAAAAAAATAGTAAAAAAATCAAATAGTAAAAAAAATTGAGGAATTAAATACAGCTGAAAAAGTTAAATATAATATTTTCAAATAAAATTTCTAAATCTAAAAAATAAATAATTTTAGAAAAAAACATAATGGAAATAAAATAAATAAATAATTTTCATCTCGCTTTTTCCACAAATTTTTTGTTTCAAATAAAACAAAAATATTAAAATGAAATTTTTCATTAAAAAAAATAAGTAAACAAATTCGCTGAGTAACGATTTCTCTTTTTTTTCAGAATTTTTCAAATTATTTGAGATTTTTGACTTATAAATTTGAAAAACAATTGTTACATGAAAAAACAATTTGATTTTTGTCGCAAGTCGCAACCAATTATTCTTTAAAATTACTTACAACCAATAAAACGTTAAAAATATTAAAAATATTATTTTTGTGTTTATCTTTTGACAATAATTTTTTTTTGAAGGGTCCTCACCATTACTGGCTAGACTCGCTCCATTGGCTTATCACATTTGAGGCAATATGCCAGGAAGTCCTTTGGCGATAGAAATACAGGTGAGTCGATAGCATCACCCGGATTTTTGTGTACAGGTTTACTTGAGCAACAGCCCACTAAGCCATTCTATCCATCCCCATCTTTTGGACGATAATGTATTTGCTAATAACAATAAAATCGAATCGAGGCGATTGTTGAGATTATTTTAGCTTCGATTCTCAATTAGCTGCTCGCTTTGAAAATAATCTCAGCAATCTCAATTATCATTTGAAAATTATGTTGTAAGCCAAATGAATCTTAGAAATACTATAAGCTATTAAAAGAGGAATTTTGAATAATTTTTTATTTATTTTATTTATTTTTATTTCTTATATAGTTCGTAATTAAAATGTAATTGAGTCGTCATGGTTGTTAGTAGCAACATAAGTAAAGAGTTTATGTGGCTTTGTGCCAGCTTAACATATATATATATATATATACGTATATATTATAACAAAATAAGTTTATATCCTAATGAGATCAACGAAGCATATCGCGAAGTTAAGGTATATCCATATGAGTATCGATGTATGAATAGCTTTCTTCCGAGAACGCTTAATCTTTTTCGAAAATTTTAGCCATTTCGCCTATTCTTTTTATTATTAAATAATTTCTTTTTCTACAATTTCCGACTAGGCTCATCTCGTTGACTTTATAACGAGGAGATTTTGCCAAGGACTCACCTGGCAATAGGAGAAATATAGTTGAAGTACCAGAATCACTCAGATTTCTGAAAGTGATGACTTGAGTTTTGATGCTATGAAATACGAGTTTAACAATCCATCGAGAATTTTTCTTATTATCTTATTCTTATTAAGAGAATTTTTTAAAATACATTTCATTTTATACATTTCAAATGTATTTTTTCGATTTTCGAATTATTTATTTTGCAAAAATTTCGCAATATTTTAAATCTTTTGGGAGAATTTTATTTTATTTCAATAGCATTTCAATATAAATAATAAATAATAACAAATAATAAATTCAAATGATAAAAAGCTTCTTTTCTTTTTTTTTTCGTTTGTTTTCTGTTCATTTTTTTTCATATCAGCAATTTAATTCAATATATTTGTATTATTATAATACTTGGCAAATGTGCAAGCAAGCAACAGGAATTAAGGCTCTTTGATTGAAATTAACTGTAGAAATTTACTAAAAATGAAATTTTCTGTATTTTTAGGCCACAAAAGGTCATTTAGGTCATTTAAGCCAGAAGGCCTTTTTTTTGTACTTTATTATTCAGCGAAATTTTCCGAACAAACTGAATAGTTCGAAAAAGCTTTCTATAAATTTAGTTCAGCCATCGTGTTAGTTTGAAATTATAAAATAGACAACGAACATTACGTGCTTAGCCAGCTTTTCAATTAACACGCATACATATCTTTTTTTAGGAAGAAAATTTATAAAAAACATAAAATATCGCGGAAAAAGTCATCCGTTCATTTTCAGATCAAATATATTATTTTTCTAGTTTTTTGAACCCAATTGTTTCCGCTAATGGATCGTTAATGGATTTCTATTCTTTTTTTTTTCTTTAAAATAGATTTGAAATATAAGCAATGAAAATAAAATATTCATATCGACAATTAATAATACCTTGGATACGCTTAGAAAAAATTTAATTTTACTATTTTAATTTTATGCTTTTTAAAATTGAATTTGCCGAATTGATGAATTTTATTGAAATTCCCAAAAATGAAAAAATAAAAATATTATATAATTTTATAGTCTTTTTTTCATCGTTCAGTATTTTAAAATATTTTAAAATATTTAATTTAATTTTAATTTTTAAAACATGCTGTTTTTTTTTACTTCTCGAAATTTTGAAAATTTTATAATTTTAATAATCATAGAAAAATTTTCAAACAATTATTATTCGTTTTTTTTGGTAAGAAAGCTCACCATTTCTGATTTGCTTCATTCGCTGGTTTGTCGGATCAGAATAATTGTTGCCATTGAATGAACTCGCGATAGCAGTAAGATAATCATCAGGATCAGCGCAAAGACAGGACTCCAACCGGAAATAGGACCACACAGCATTGGTACTTCGAACTGTGAACAGCAACTCATTCTTTTTCCTAAAAAAAAATAGTTGTTCTAAGAAATCAAAATCAGATATATCGAATCTCCGTATTAATTTGTCATGCAATATTGTTTAATAGGCAAAACGAATAAATTTTTTTATCGAAAAATGAATGGGATGTACCATTGGAATTCTTAAAAGAAATATCGATACTGGCGAAAAGAATATAGTTTATCCACTTACGCATAGCAAAGCATCTGAAGTGATTGAACCTGAATCTGAAGCGGTTGAACCTAAATCCAAATCAGAAGCGATCGAACCTAAATCTGAAGTGATTGAACCTGAAATTAAAGTTAGAGCCGATACACCAATTACACTCAACAAAAATGATCATATGGAGTCAACATGTGAACAATGCCCTACACCACTGATTTTCCTTCTTCCATCGTTAGTAAAATTATTTATTTTATAATTATAATATTTCTGGTGGGTTGCTTTTAGTTTTTCTAGTTCCCTGCTTAGTTTTTTGGTTTCTTCTAAGTTTACTTCGGCAACCAGCAAATTATTTTTTTTTTAAATTGTAGAGAATCACCCCATTTCGTCGAACCTATATATGCTAATGCAGCACGCCAATTTTCAATTGATACATCTCGAGCAAAGACAAACAAAAAAGTCGTTTCGTTATGTGCAAAGATGATAAACCTTCATGAGGTTAACTATAGCGATTTTTTTTTTCAATTTGTTATAAATTCATTTAAACTGCTTATAAGGGTAAGAACACCTGGTTTTGGTTAGGTGGTTTGGGTTCTAGAACAGAACAAGAGGACCGCTTAAAGGCAAAAGGATAGAAATTCCCCAACTGACAAAATTTTTTTTTATATATAAAAACATGTTATATGTATAAATATTCAAATCTTTATAGTTTTAAGGAATAGGCAAATAGTTTTTCAGTTCCCTGAAGGTAGAGATGACGAGAAACCATGCGATATATATTGGCATAATATAATTTATAGTGATATGAAAATTATTGCAAGAAATGGTAATGTACGAATTAATAAATTTCCAGGTAATTACACTTGGCTTATAAGTAATAATAACTTTTTCTAGACAAGAAACTATAATTTTTGGTAACTGAAATTCGAAAAGAAAAATTTGGAAATTTGAGAAATCAAAATCAAATAAATGAACGAGCGGCCTTCATTAGTTTAAAAATTAATCGGTGAATCGATGAAAAATTAAGTTTTTAAGATTTTTAACAAAATAATAAAGTTAAATTTAATAAAGTTTTTTAATTTTGATTTTTTAGGTCATTATTTATTTTTTCAGGAGTAAATTAGCATGTAATTGATAAAAACAATTAGTTAATCAATAATATGAAAAGAAAAAAGACTTTTTTAAATGAAAATTTTATTCGGTTCTTTGGCCTAAAATAAGGGAATATATTTTCCAGATCTTCAATATTAGTTCCATCTGTGGAGAGTAGAATGGCTAAGTGGGTTGTTGCTCAGTTCAGAGCGTCGATGATGAGGTTCTTCTCCTCGTAGGAGTAAAATCGGGGTGATGGTGGCAATTCACCTGTAGTTCCATCACCAAGTCGCCAGTTTGAAGAGTTCCGTACTAGATACTCGTTCCTATCGCAGACTCCTTGATCCAGTACAATAAGCTAGCGGAGCGAGTCTAACCAGTATTGGGAGTTCATTTAAAAAAAAATTCTAATAAGTATTAAAATTAATTGATTATTTTATTTACTTTTATAAAATTACTTGATTATTTCAATTACTTTTATAAAATTACTTGATTATTTGTTTCTTCAGGCATGGCTGAATTATCCAAGAAAATTGCTCTAACAAGAGCAATTTTATCGATGAAACAAATCTTCCATGATGAATATCGCTTCTATCCATTGAGCTGGTTCATTCCAACACAGTTACAAGAATTCACTAATTATTGCAGCAATAAAGAGAATAATATTTGGAACTACAGCCAATCCAAGATCTCTTGGTTTATCGTAAAACCTGATGATGGTAATTTTTTTCTGTCTCTAGCCACCAGCATTAGTTACTTTCAGTAGAGAATTAGTTAAGGATAGAAGTACGAGTGGATTTTCAGCACTGTTTTTTGATTTTTATTGAAAGGTTATTAGGCCATAGAAATCAAGCAATATACTACTCCGCTATCGACTTCCAGATTGCTAATTATAGTTCGATAAGAAAAAAGGTCTTATTACACGATCATATCTTATGTGAAACGGAGTTTTTCCTCCAGTTTTTCTTTTTGGAAAGACTTTAAAAGCCGAAATCATATTCGTAAATCTTACGACTACTTTTATCTGCCCATCCAAATTATCAGAAAACAAAAAATGCTTAATAAATGGATTATATTGAATTAGCAAAATTAGAAAAAATTACAGGCTCACAAGGTACAGGCATTTATTTAATAAATAATCCAGATCAGTTAAAAGACACAAACAGCAGACAATTGGTACAAGCCTATATCGATCATCCCTATCTTATGAATGATGGCCTTAAATTCGATTTTCGAATCTATGCTGTCATTAAAAGCATCAATCCGTTATCAATTTATGTAGCTCGAGAAGGTTGTATTTATTATATTATCCTTTTTTTTCAAAAATATTTTAAAATTTTCTAATAATTTTTAATTTGATTGAAAATTTTATGCGAGAATAAGATTGCACAAAAAAAAATGCTTTCAATGCTCGAAGAAATAACAATAATTTCTAGCAGTCATTTTTACATTTTTTTCACAAAATTCATAGGAATGGCTCGTTTTTGTACAGAGAAATATAATAAGCCAACGCTATCGAGTAATTTATATGCACATTTAACAAACTATTCGCTTAATAAAGCAAATGAATCGTATATTCATAGCAATTCACTTTATGATCAATTAAAAGGTAAAAAAATTTACATTTTACTATTTTATAATTTATTAATGAATGATAAGAATGATAAGCGGAATTATTTTTTATCAATTTAACCAGTCAAATAATTAAATATTTATAAAGTTCTTATCTTATTTGATCGTCTAAAACTCGGATAAAATGAGCTTTAGCATTATTTCTTTAAAATATCAAAATAAATATTATTTTTTAGCAAAATAAGAATTTTTAAAAAATTTATAAGAAAATGAGATTTTCTAGGAAGTAAACGCCTTCTATCGACAGTATTTCATCAACTTGAAGCGAAAGGTGTGAAAACAAAACGATTGTGGCATAACATAAAGTTGATTATTGTTAAAACAATAATTGCTATGGTTCCTGAAATAATGCTTAATTATGAACATTGTTTCAGCGATAGCTCAGGAGCGCAGTGCTTTCAAGTTTGTTTAGAATTTTCAAAACAATTCGAAATTTTTGCCAGAGGATGTACAAATTGATTGTTAGCAACGTTATATGATAATATCAAGTCCTATTTTTGTCGCAAACACTTAGTCTGAATCTTTGACGTTCTTCAAAATTATTGAAAAATTTGCCGAAGATTTCGAAGTGATAATAAAGATAGTATAATAGTTTCTTATATTTTTTTATATTCTTATAATGTAATGTGTTATAATGTAATATTATGATAATGTGTATAATGTATTATAATGTAAAGTTTTGCGTGTGATAACGATGTTTTTATTAAGATTATGGGCTTCGATATATTATTGACGGAGGAATTAGAGCCAGTACTTCTTGAAGTGAATTCTGCACCAAGCTTAACAATTGATCATTGTGTAGCAGAAGCAGATGAAAATACTGATTGCCAAGAGCCAAGAGCAAGATCTATTGTCGATGAGGCGAGCTAACTTCATAGTTTTTATCTCATTCTATTATCACTTTATCATTTAATGAGAAAATTTCAGTCATATTCAGATTCTCCTTCAGAAAATTGATGCTATTGCATTTTCTGGCGAAAGGTTTTAGTAATTAGTAATACACAAAACAATCAAGAAAATTGTTCAAACTGTATAAGGAGATGAACGGTTAAGAGAAAGATTGATAATGAAATTGATTCAAAATTTTAGACGATAAAAATACCTCTTGTGCGCGATACGTTACTTTTGGTGCTTGATTTGATGGATAGAGTGTATGGTTCCACATATTCAAAGTTTGCTTTATACTTCAATATTTTTTTATGCTAATAATATTTATAAGCGAACATATGAGTTTTTTTTGAATTTTTTTTAAAAGCACTTACCATTACTAGTTAGACTCGTTCTTCTAGCTTATCACAATAGATAAATTCGCCAAGAAGTCCCTTGAGGATAGAAATACAAGAGTCGCCAGTAGCATTTTTGGACGGACTTTCCTGCCATACGGAGTAAAACCTCAGCATCAGAATAAAATGATAATGCGGATTCGAGTCTAAGCCTCGATTTTCTGCGGCATTTATCTTGCCACTGAGCTGTCGACGAACCTATATCAAATTTTTAAGGCGAATTGCGATTTTAGGTCAACAATTTATGAATTATGCACCAATATGTGAAATAGCTTTGTCTCTAAATTTTTTGAAAAACCTTCCAAGCGACTTTAAATCAATTGAATTAAAATATACTCCTTGCATATTTTAAAAAACCTTTATTTTATTATTAATTGAACACATCTGCCAGTTTTCCTTCATCGGAATGCATAAATCAAAAGTGCATGGATGATATAGAAGTGTCGAAATTTAAAAGAAAATCAAATTTGACAGAAGTATGTTTTTAATTTTATTTATTTATTTATTTATTTGAAAACTGAGAAAAATTCCGTATATAAAATATATAATATTATTATATAATAATAATAATTATAATTATAATTGCCAAGGATTATTACTATTATTATTGTTTTCACTATTATTATTGTAATATAACTACAATTATAATAATAATTATTCTACGAGCGCTTATAGGATCGGATTTATTTATCATTTGATTTGATTTACCATTTGATCTTAATTATGCGATATTTAGGCGGCATTTTCTTTCCAGAACTATGGAATTTTTTAATAATTTTTTCAACAAGCGTTAAACAAGTATTTACTAGAGGCTTTCGCATATTTTTAGTCGTTGTACATAGCTGTTCTTATCAGCTTTTTGTCAGCTTTGAATTAATTAAAAATAATTTGCCAAAAAAAACTTTTGTCCAAAAAAATTGCTTTCATTTGTTTTTCCATTGGATTTCATTAATCAACTATACCGACTAGTAATTAAATTTATCTTTTTTAGTTATCATATATTTTTAAGGCGAGTTGTGGCCTTATTTATTATTATTATTTATATTATTTATAAACAGTTTCGTTTAGGTTCAGTCCTATATAAAATTCTATACCTATTCTTCTCAAATATTTTAAAGCCTTTTTTATTATTCTTAGCATCCTGGCTGTCGGATTTCTTTGATATAACCGGTTCTTTTCTTTTTATTCATATTTATCAGTGATATGATGTTAATAAATATCATTTTATCATGAAATATCATTTGATTTACTGGATTTATCAAAGGGTTAATAGGAGAAAATAGGAGAAAATGGCGATAATTATCATCCATTGCTTTTTATCATAAGAAACTAAAAGGTTTTATCATTGATGTATTTTAGGTATTTCCTGGTCGATATGGACTGGCTGTTGGTCATTTATTATTTCTAGACAAGGCTGCCTATTTATTTATGCAATTCGTAAATTTAAAACATAATATGCTAATTACAATTACTGGTCTTCGCAATTTTATAAGGTTTATTCTTTGCTAATTTACCAATTAGCAATAATAATAAATCTTAAAAATAGGATATATTCATTAGACAAATAGCTAAGCTTAGAATAAACAAAGTTTCTCTAATATTTCATGGAAAATAATTAATGATTATAGGAAATGTAATTTGATGGATGTTATTGATGCGAATTATTTGCAAGCAAAATATTCAGAAATTTTGAATGAATTCAATGGTGAAGATAAATTACATAACGAATGCGGTATGCCATACTTTTTGCTATTTTTCGTATAAACAATTCGACATGAATGACTTTTGCATAAATTTTATTCGGCATTTTTTTAATTTTTTAAAAATATAATTATTAATAGGCCAAAACTTCTTCCATTTTTATGCAATTTTTTCTGGACGGAATTTGAATATATTCGTTGTTCTATCGAATTCATATTCTTCAAAATTTTTTTAAAAATTTTCAGGCTTACCATTTCATGGTTTCTTGAAATTATTATATTATATTGCTCAATTAAAATTTTTTAATTATATAAATTTATTTCAACAAGTAAACAATCTTTTAACATATTGCTGTTCGAGTTTACGACATTATGGTGTTAGATCAGCTCGCCTTCGGCGAATAGAAATCGATGATAACGATAAAGAAAAGTGAGACAGATTTTGTTCAAAAAAAACTGAATGCTCATTTAATGAAAATCTTAAGATTTTGCTGATGAAATCTTTTTGATAATATTCGAATGTTAATTCTTTAAAAAATTAAAATTTTAAAATTCTTATATTTTTTTAATCATCTAATCATCTATATATATGTATATATATAAATTTTAGAAATATATAAATAAATCATATATATAAATTTATATATATATAAATATTAATTTTAGAAGTCACATTTGTCAAATCCATTTTTGGCATTTTTTATCAAACTTTATATACATATATAAATTTTAAATACATAAATTTATGTATTTATAAACATAAACAAAAATCAAAAATAAGGTTTGGTTCAAAGAATAAGTTTGACATTATCAAATTATGGACGTAAATCCTGTAATATATCTTTTTAATCGATCAATTGTAGCATTTGTTCTCGTAAAATATTTTTCGCAAATTAGAAATAAACATGTAGCCACGAGTCATATAAGCTAATTTGAGAAAATTTAGTTTGGTGAAGATCTATCTACTTCCTATACGACTACAACAGAAGCGATTAGGAAGATTGGATGCTCGTTTACGATCCGAAATAGAAGCTAAACGAGCTCGACAAAGATATGCTCGTTCACTGCCTCGTGATTTAAAAGGATTTCCAACAAATAAAAATGGTAATTTTCCGGGAAAATCTTTTAGAAATAACCGAAAAGAGTTGATTTTGCCAAAAATACGGCAAACGTTTCATTAAGAAAACTAAAAATGATATGAAACTGTCGGAACTCTGGCTAAAATTCTTGAAGACTTGAAATAAAATCAACTTCTATCTTTTTAAAATAATTTTTTTTTCAATCAAGTAGAAAACTATTAATATTAATATTAATGTTTTTAATTTATCAATAAGATTATAACGCATTTTGTTGATTTTCTTGATTACATTTTTTATAAAGATTTTATTTATTTATATGTGATATTTATGATTCCAAAATTGCGATAAGTTGTGATAAGGCAGCAAATAATGAAAATATGGTAACAGTGATAATAATATGATTAGCAAGGTAACTGCTTCTTGTGGAATTCACTTTTAAACCAAAAAGAAACATAAAAAATTGACGACTCATTGGCACAAATATTTTCATATTTACTTATAAATCATATTTCATTTATAAAATCTACTATCTTTTGGAACTTCAGTGGAGAGTAAATGAAAGATGAAATGAAAATAAAACTAATGGTTTTATTCGCCTTTTATAAAACCAATGTTTCAAGTCTTTTTTCCTTTGGTTTTTGGTTTTTTTGAGGGTCATTGCGCTCTTTCTACTCATTAGTCGGGACAAAAAAGCTTTTGCTATGGATCACCTGATGGCAATATCGATATCGATATCGATAATATCACCTGGATTTTTAAAAGACGGATTTACTCCTGAAGAGATTTCCAGAATTTCAGCATTAATGCTCCGTGAAATCAGCAACTCTTTGGACCATTCTGCTCCCTTATTATAACCAATGGGTACAAAAAATTATTTTAAAATTGTCCATTGCTTTATTTTTGCGCTTTGATAATAACAAATAATAACGATGTTAACTAGCAATCTTGCCATTCAAAAAATCAACTGATAACGTTAGCACAAAATGATTTATTATATTTTCCACGATTTCTGTGAAATAAATCGTTAATATACATGTAAATCCTTCGGTCGATTATATTCATTTTGCCAGATAATTGATTTATGCTCATTATTTACTCTACCTTTAGTAATTTACTTCTGAACGAACAATATATTTTCCAAAAAAATATTTATTACAACCAGGTTTATATAAATTTCTTATCATTTTTAATCATTCTATCAAAACAATTTTTTTCTAAAATACAAAGACAATAACTTATCAGCAAAACAATTTTTTTTCAAAACAAATTTTTCACGACAAATAATTCGAAAATTTTGTTAAATGTTAAATATACAAAATAAACCGATTCAGATCAATAGATCATATTAAATTTATCAAATCTTTTCATTATTTGCATATACTAAATAATATATTATGTAATTGGCAAATGAGTAGGCAAAGCCAAATAAATATACATTAATTATATTTGTTATTAATAGAAATTATCTATAAAAGAGGATAGAAAAGCGTTTGCTCGTATTCGTACTATGAAGAAATTTTTGCCATTATATCTCCCCTTATAAATTTATTTATACATCAACTAGATCGTTATCACTAATCCCCATATCAAGCCACGTTACGAATTCTCCAAATAAGTTTCGATTTACGAGCGCTAACGTATTCTGACTAAATAAAGTTAATTTAATGAAAAATAACTTTTGCAATTGGGTTTGACATCATGAATCGAAGGAAAAATCGGAGTCATCGTTCCATCCTTCATAATTTCTTGATAATAAACTTTCTTTTCATTTGATATTGATATAAAGCAAAAGAATGGAACGAGAATGAACAAAAAAAATACCAAGAGATCCTTCGATTTTTTCCGTGATTTTTTATTATCACTATTATCACTGCTTAGAAAGTTGGAACGAAACGATCTCATCAACCTAATGGTATGAATTGAAATGAAAATGGCAATGGAGACATTGTTGAAAGTGCCTACAAGATAAATAATTGCTGATTCTATCAAAAGAATTAAAAGAAATAATTGATGAAAAATTGCAAAATTATTTTTAATAATAATTATTTTTTTCTATGTTTCTTCAGGTTTACAAATAGAACAAAGAAATTCAATATTATTGAAAAAAATTTACCATTCGATAATGGTGCACACCAAAAACATTTGTCGTTCTCTGAATATCGAATAGTCCATTTAATGAGCTTAAAAAAGGTGAACGTATCAAAGATGGTGCCATGGTTATTGACTGTGATTGTACTTCTTGAACTAAAAATAATAACAATAATTTTTGAACTGATAAAAAAGAGCAACACGTAAGTGTAAAGAGTAAGAGAATTCGCAAACGAAGTTCGGATTGAATTAAACATAATAAAATTAAATATTCTATACATTCTTGCCTAAAGAAAATTGCCAAGGGACTTCCTAGCATATTGCCCAATAGTGACAAATCACTGGAACGAGTTTAACCAGTAATGGCGAGGAGTCTTTAAAATAAAAGTTACTTGCAGCTAAACGGAGGTGATCAACTTAAGAAGAAATAAGTAGCAACTAAATAGTAGCTTAAATACTAATTAAATAAAGAGAATAGCATGCAGTTTGCAATCAGCTTGCAAAAAATGTAAAAAAAAAGATTGGTGTCGAATTCAAATATTATTAAAGATTTTGTCTCAAATTACCAACCGTCACTGAATTCTGCTTTTGGCCTTAGATTCTCAATAACTGGTAAATGTCGAGCCGTTGGGGCTTTTCTACTTTCATTTAAGCACATTCTTGGCGGTCTATCGCTGTTCTAAAGATAAACAGGATTAAAATTCGTTTATCATTAATGATTATAATCATAGAACTGATAAGAAACGAAAAAAAATCTAACTAAAGAACGAGAAAACATTTTGAAATAATGACATTTGTGAAAATTTCACCTACTTTTTCAATATTTTGCAGCCACTCTGTGGTATTTTGAATGCAATTTTGAAAAGTGGATGTAAATTTTGCTTTTGATAAATTTGATGGCGCATTTCGCTGAACTGATGCCATTTTCTAGAAAAAATAATTGAAATGATAAAAAAAATATGAAAATCATTTTAAAAATTACTTATTACTTTTAAATTACTTTTGAGCAAATGAAATTATTAAACGACATTTGTTGCGAAACGGCGAAAGCAAGAAAATGGGATAAAACTTGAAAATGGAATCGAACTCGAATGAACTCTAAAGGAGTGGAAGCGAGCCGATCCTAAAATAATATTTTTATTTTCGCCATTTCGCGATAACATTCTCCAAAAATTTTGGAAAAAAAATTAATTTCAAGCGATACTTTAGGTTACTAACTTACTATTGAACTTACTAGTGAAGCATTTGAGATTGCCGAACTAGTTGAAGCGTCAAGATTTTTAGGGAGATATCTCTTGCTAGTTTTTTTAACTGAAGAACCATAAAAGCCATTTGGAAATATTCTAGTTCGAATATGTTTAAGTCTACAAATTCTTTTTCTCGATAGATATAAGCGATTTTGTGATGAAGCAGATCGCTGCACGCAATAAATTGTCTGAACAAATTTGCGCGGATTACGAGCAATAGGTAATCTTTTTATTGTCGCTAAAGTATTTATGGGCGAAATTGGTTCATTTTCTTTTTGTCGTAATGTATTATTTATCGTTGATTGAGAAGAGGACAACTTTGATTTTGATATTGGCATAATATTGTTTAACCGGTTGAGCTGCCTAGTTGATAAGTTATCAGGTTTTTTATAAAATTCGCTCTTTTTGCCTGAAACACCATTTGGTTATCTATGAGAAATTAAATTGATTTGCCAACTTGCCAACTGATTTCATGTTGATTAAATTTGCTGGATTTCTAAAACTCATGGAATTTTCTCGCTAATTATTTCTTTAATTATTTTTTACTTTAAGAAAAGTTGAATTTTCCATAAACTTTTTCAATATATAATTTTTTTCAATTTGAAGGTCTTTACTTTCCAAAATGTATTTAATCAAAAGAAAAAGAATGATAAGCCAATTTGAAATATTTAAGTCATTTTGCCTGTTTTTTTATATAAATATTCTTCGAATATTATCGGCTTTTAAATTCTAATAGAAGGAAATTAAATTCTTCGCTATAAATAGCATCAAATTTATCATAAAAGCTGGAGATTTTGAAAAACTAAACGCATTAAAGCTGTTGGAGATAGCACTCTAATGGCTGATTCCATATGTGTTCTTTTTCCATCGCTATCTGAAATTTTGAGGAAATCGAAAAATTTATCTGAGACAAATTAAAAAATCAAAACAATAACTGGTGTGAGCCGAGCTAAATCAGAACTTTCTTACAGCAAAAGAAGCCATTAAATTACCAGCTCAATCATCCATTTACAAGGTAGTAAAACATTACTAAAAACTTTACTAAAACTTTACTAAACATTACTAAAATTACTATTAGACGGTTTTGGGATAGAATAGCTCAGTGGATTGTTGCTCAATTGGGAACGCCGATGCTGTGGTTCTATTCCTCACAGGTTAAACCTATCCAAAAATCTAGGTGATGTTGGCGATTCACTTCATTTAACCGGTAATGGAGAAGGCTCATAAAAAAATTGCTAAAATATTAAATTTTTTCATATTTTGTGGTGCAATTTTTAGAAGCTTATCAAACTTTTCAGATTTTTTTGCTCCAGAAAAATTATATCATTGACAATATTGGTGTTTGTGCCATCTGGAACAGATAAATTACCATTCGGATCCTTAAAAAAATTAAAATTTGCAAGTATCACTCAGCAAAATCTTTTCAATTTAAAAAATATCGAAACTTATGAAAAAAATTAAATATTTCATCCTCACCGTATTCAATTTTTTTTCTTTAAATTCATCATCCATTTTTTGCATGTCATTTTTTAAAAAATTCGAGACTGATTTTTGAATTTCTGGATCGTAATAGAATGATTCGTCCTAAAAACAAAACAGTCGCATTTAAAAACAGATTTAGGAAAAATTTGGAATTCAAATTGGAAAAAATTTTTGAAATAAAAAAAAAGGTTAGATGGAAAGAAATCAGGAGAGGTAGAAATGATTCAGTGGCTTATTTCTCTCATTTTGGAGCACCGATATTTCCACTTCTGACAAAAGTAAGTCTGTCGAAAATCCATGTTGTAATGCTGGCAATTTATCTCTCAGCCCCGCGACAAGCCCAGCCATTTATTTAAAATGGTGAGTGCTCGCAAAAAAAGTGAAAGACGGAGGCTATGATTACATAATACTGCTGGATTTTTTTTCTTTTAAGAGCTAATGGTGATTACAGATCACCATTATTGATTACTGATTAGACTCGCTCAGCTGGCTTATCTGATTAAATATGGCAGTTTTCTGCCATAGCAATAGAAACACGGAGTGAATAGCCAGCTCCCAGATAACTGCTGGATTATTGCAAATGTTTTCATCCGCTTTATTTTTAAAGATCTATTCCATCTCTAATACGATGGTTATCTTTTCCGACTACACCTATAATTTTCGAAAATAGCCAAATTTAAGCCAAAAAATATAGCTAACGGTACAGCAATGTTAAGCATTCATTGCGCTTTGATCTTTTGTATATTGGCCTATTTTGCTTGATTAATCAGTCTAATATCGAGGTATCGAAGTGAACAGTCGCTTGTTTATGCACAATTTTGTTCTAATCGTAGCATTCTTATCTTATCAATAAACAATTTTAGAACGACAATTACAAATGCAAATAATACAATTAACTATACAACTAAATTATAATTTTCATTGAAAATAATGACTAATTAAATTCAACAAACTTCATCAATCGTATCACGTTTTTCAAATGGTTTAATTGCTGATTTCTTATCGATAGAATTTTTTTGTGAAAGAAGCCTCTAAAAAAATAGATTTATAATTTATGGAATTATCTAAATAGCATTTTTTTTCCAAATTCCAACCTATTAAGCAAGAATTCCATGAAAAAATTTGGCTTATAAAAATCAAATGCCAAACCCTATTTTCTAAAAAAGATTTTTCGTTCTCTTTAGAGGTTTTATCTTTGACAATGAGACTACCATCAGGAGCAAACATTCCTGCATATTTCGATTCGTGTTGTGGTGGTAACTCTGGTACTGTATTTATGCCTAAATGCGATAAGCTTACGATAATAAGAATTTTATTCTTAATTATTTGATTACTATTAGTTAAAACTTTTAAAACCTATCGAAATTATCCTAAACTAAAGGCGAATTAAGTGATAATATGGTGATAAAAGTAGTAGAATAAAAATTTGTTTAAGTTCTTTTTCATCGAACAATATTTTTAAAACTGTTAATAAAATATTTCCAAAATAGAATTTTTTTTTCCTCGATAATTTAAAAAATTTGTAAAAGAACTTTATCATTCTAATGATTGCTAATAAACAGACATATAGGTTTAATAGTTTTTAGTTTAGATTCACCAAACGAATGTAATGGTATCGGTGTTGGCGGAAAAAGTTGTGCAACACCAAATAATCCAAATTCACGGCTACTCGACGATTTTTTTGCTACAGTAATCAGTGCAGATTGCGTTACTTCATCTAAAAATAAATTTTTAAAAAAAAGGAGAAATTTTTCTCTCCGCAAAAAATGAAATGAAACCTGTTTGATTAACTTTTCGCATTTGCCATTAACCATTAAACTAAAATTATAGTGATTTTTTTTTTTATATTTATTAATAATGTTTAATCATTTTCGAGATCTTAAAAAATCAAATTAAGACTTATGAGCGAATAACAGTTTTTGGCAAAATTGAATCAGATAATCAGATCTGCCGTAAATTTTATAAACGTCTATGCGTGTATGCCTACGTATATCGTCTATACGTATGAATTCGATTCATTGTTCCTTGACAGCGATGAGCCTTTACATTAAAAGTTCTGATACGAGTTACTGAGCAGCAACACCCTAAACATTTCTATCTCCTCTGGCATTTCTACCCTTTTATCTTAATTATTAAGCCAGCTGCGGTACTACTAGAAGAAAGCAATGAATCGAAGAGAAGATTCATCCAGCAAATGGTAAGAAATCATCAATGTACATACCACTTTCTTCTTTAAAATCGAATGGCTTTGGTAAACCTGACAATATTGATGACGGCGATGAATTTAAAGGTGTAAGTGGCCTAAATAAGTGTTGCCATGCAGAAAAAAGTGACGAAACAGGTAAACCCCACAAACCCTGCAATTCTTATGAAATATTAAATTATTGAATAATTCTGTAAGATATTTTTGGAGTAAGATTTATAAGTAAGATTTGTAGGATTTCAGTTGGTTCCTAAGTAACTCAACCATTATGCGAGATGGGAATAAATTTATTCTAAAATGAGCCAAAGAAAATATCTCTAAATTATTATTTATCTTAGAATTTGATAGTAATTTTATAAACTGCCAGCCCAAGGATATAAAATAAACGAAGCTTACTATACTATAAGTAAATTTACTATACTATAAGTAAATTTTTGAAAATTAGATAGGTTAAATATTTTATTTAAAAAAGTATTTACTTATTTTTAATTTAATAAAGTATAATTTTTATAAATAAAAAAATGAAAATTTACCATGTTTTGTGGTGTAACAAATCTATTGAATAATAAAAATATAAAAATCAAGTAAATGTACCGCCAAGACATATAGTTTATAAATTTATAAATCACTTAGTTAATGAATGATTGCTTTACAAAAATTATGTCTCCTGCAAGGAAAGTAAATCCATTAAATTAAAGTTGCCAGCCTAAGGGTATAAAACAATTTTCACGAAAAGAAGAATCGCATTTTACTAAAAAAAACTAAAATTTGCACATTATAGTTTTTTTCACAAATGGCCGTTAAAATTCTAATGATGCCGCTTCTTTTGCAGTTGGCACTCGGAGACTGTAGTATGCCTAAAATCCTTTAAAATATTCACGAAATCTGGAAAATTATCTGCGAGATAGCGTGTTGTTTTTCTTTAATAGTTCCTTCGTCCCAATATGGCCTTTACAATTTTCTAACACTTCGTCTAATCCAGTTCTTCAGCCATAATACTTCCTAAAACTCGTTACGCTACCTTAGAATCCCTTCAAACTGTTATTTTCTCTTTAATGGATCTTAAAATTCGCAAAGCTTCAAAATTCTTTCCTTAGGAGATTTTATTTTCTAATACTAACATTTAAACAACTTTAGAGTTTATTAATAGAATAGCAAGGTTAGCTGTATATAGCCAGATGAAAATCGTGTAAAGCCCGTAATGGGCTTGAATCTTACTCTCAAGTATGGATTTTATATGTTTCCTACTCGTGATCGGTATTTTTTTTAATAGGAAAACTGCTTAAAAAGGAATTAAAAATGAAATCGTAGCAACCAGGAAAGGTCTTATATTGATTTTATTAATTGCTATAAATTCTATTGATAAGATTAACTGATAAGGAAGTTGATAAGATTTGAAGAAAACGAAAGGAAACAATTTATTGAGAAAAAATTTGCAATTAAACGACTTATGCATTTCAAGATAAGATTAATTATTATTATCAAACAAGATTGATAAAATCAAAATCCTCAAAATTTTTAATTTTCTAATAGTTATAATAATTTAAAAGAAAGAAAAACCTAAAATATCAATAGTCATTATGAAATATATGAGCAATATGAGCAAATAAAAACGGGGATAACGATGGTTAGTTTAATACTCGATTTAGTATAGAAAAAGGAATTAATTAGTCGTAACTTTGGGTCAATTTTGAAAGGAAATATGATCAGTGAAAACGAGTTTTAGTGAGAAAATTGCACCCCCGTATATGTCAAAACCATAGCAAATTCTATCGAATATCTTTATCGTTGTGGTTATCGCTTTTTATGTCAACAAGAGAAACTGGTGAAACATTTTTGACAGGTCGACTTTTCGTGAAGTGCAAATAATCTTTAATTACAATGCAAATTAATTAAGTTGAATGTCACGATAACATGTTAATTTAATTGAAATCTTTTTTAGAGCGAAAAAATAAAAAAATTAACAAAAATCGAGCAAAACTCTGGTTTTATGGCATTAATTTCGCTTCTCCAACTTTCGGGAGATAAAGCTTTCGGGATTTTTCACTTTTTTGCTTTAAGCAAATAAGCGAGATCAGCGCGGTTAATTTTTTCACCTCAGGCAATTCTCCTATTATACCTTTATTCCTATATTGATATTATATTGAATTGATACACCACTAAAATGCCAGACTCCAATTTCCTTATTTCCTTTCTTTTCCTTTATTCATAATAATCAATAGAAAAAGCATGAATCTCAGTGGTGACTTAGATTAGAATTAGGATTATCTCTCACTTAATTTTGATTTCAAAAACTATCAAAACAAATATTTTACGAAAAATGTAAAAAATGTAAGAAAACTATAAAAATAAATTCTAATAATATTCTATTCGCTTTCAATTATTTTTTTATGTCTTAATTTTAAAAATTTTATTATTATATTCGATGGAAATAATAAATTGAACTAAGTTATTAATAAATTATTTTAATAACATTAATATTTTATGTAAGATTTGTAAAAATATTTGTAAGAAAAATTAATATTTGTAAAAAATGGAAATAGTTAAAGTCTTATTAAAAATGCGAAATTCTGAGAAATTTCACTTATTCTGCGATTACACCATAAAAAAAATATTATATCCGATATACAATAAAAGTCCAAGAGATACATGATCATAGATCGAAGTTGAATGTCATAGCCGTTAAAAAATCTCAGCGATTTTTAATTTATTAAATTTTTTAGAATTCATTAAATTAAATTTTAAGAACATTCTTGTTAGACTCTCCCCGCGCTATGCCAAAGGAGGCTCTTAGTGATAGAAATCCAGATTTATTGATGATAAATCTCGAATAAACTTGACTTTCAGGTTGGTACCAATTGTTTTAAACTGAAAAGAAATATTTTTTCCAAGATTTTCAAAAGTTTTAGGAATGAAGAAAATAGAAAATAGTGAAATGAGAGAATTATTCAAATGTTTCTAATGAGAAAAAAATTCTCAAAAATAAAAATAAAAGCAAAAATAAAATAAAATCAGATTAATTGCTATGGTATAAATGATTGAAAAAGGCGCTAATACCGCTATGAGGACACTATAACCGAGGAATATGAGAATTTATTCGAATAACGCATAAGTATCCCACTGGAGAAACTAAAACAGAAATGAACCATATAAGAAAAAAAATAAAAATTTAAATAAAAATAATTGAAATTATAAAAAGTACACCGGTCGGAATTTAAAAAATAATGAAAAAAAAATTAAATAAATAAATAATTTTTCCATTATCGGATGAAATTTTTTTCATTAAACTAAAATTTATTCACATAAAACTAACGGAAAAGAGAATTCACATTTCTTAGATGATTTTAAAGAAAATAATGAAATCCTTAAATATTTTCTTAAATTTGCATATAAAACTCGATTCCGCTTAGTTATATTTCAATATTTTCAGCAAATATCTCGATTATTATTGAAAAATATTTCTGCAAAATTTTATTATTAAATTGTATAACTAGAAAAAACTAGTTAAGAAAATTGTGAGGATAAAGCGAAAATATAAAATATAATTATAAAATTTATAAAATTATAAAATAATAAAATAATGACAAATATTTTTCTGCCAGTCTGTTTTGGAAATCTCAATAATTCCTCAGCAAAAATACCGAATGTCGAACTGGCCTGGCCTCAAGATTAATTTCAAAGCTTTATTTCCATTCGCAAGGGCTTAAAATTAGCACCGTAAGCCTAATCCACGTATAGAATTTTATTTTATGTATGGGCCACTATAAATTTTTTAGATATTTCATTTAAGAAAACTTTTATTTTTCTGTCCGAATATTGGTCCATTCAACTCGAAAACAGCACAATAACAAGAAATTAGAATAATGCATGTTTTGGATTGAGCATAAGTTGAGTATAGTGGAAAAATTTGCTTTGCTAAATTTGACCAAATTCGAGTCAAATTTTTTGCCTTTTTTTTAAGTGCAAGAAAAAAACTTTAAAAATAGGAAATAATTTATTCGGATGAAAGAAATGCTTAATAGAATAGAAATAAACAATAATAAATAAAACGAAAAATAATAAGAAAATTATCAGCGAAATTTTATATAATAACCGAAATGAACCAACAGTTCACTAAAAAATAATATAGAATGGCTTTAGTGGTAGATTTTACGACTTATCGACGAACACATAGTCCACAAGTACGCGGACAAATGGTACTCAGAACCGCCGAATATCTTTCATGGCGACAGAAGGGCGCATATTTTTCACAATTAGTTCTTTGATCAGCACAAGCTGGACGAGTGACTGCTATTGTTGAAGTTGAATCTGCAAGTATTTTTTGCTACATTTTGTTAATATGAGGAAATTCGACTTCCATTCTGCTTCATTAAAGATAGTTTCAGCGAAAATTTACCCGACAAGCATGTGCTTATATTGCAGGTCTTCATGCACATTTGGGCAATTCTTTCATTGTTGCAAGCATCAGGAAAACGTGCAATCACAGGACAACTGTCGTGGGCATCTGGACATTTCCCAAGCGCTCCTGGCTTATCACATAGACCGCATTTTGCTGGGCATTTTGCGAGAAGTATTTTGAATAAAATAGGATTTCGGCAGTGAGCCATACTCAATTTTTCACAAATTTCTTTAGTATAAGGGTCTAAAATATAATTTTATACCTATTCAAATATTTTTAAATATGTAAATATCTATTAATGAAAAAGAAAAGAGCAACTGAAAAATTATATTATTATATATAAAATTATTTAATAATAAGATAATAAATATTCAATTTAAAATTATTTTCAACGATTGTCTTCTTGCTTAAAAAATTGAGAAATCGAAAATGGTAATATGATAATGTGATTAAAAAATAAGATTAATATTCTTGCGATAATTATTAAAAATTAAAATCATTTCTTCGACAAAGCAATGCCCTCGAGTCCCTGCATTGATAAATCTTTATACTTAGTAAAATCTAGGACGATCAGCAGTATTTAGAATTTTAAAGAGGTATTATTGTTACGCTTTTCTCGAAAGCATGATATAGTTTTTTTTAAGCAGTTATAAAAAAGAGGTATTGTTTAAATTACGACAATATAAGAAGTTGTAATATAATAATAACAACAGTAACGGGACAATGAACGAGTGTCGTTAGACTTTTCAGAATACAAGATAAAAACAATATATCAAAGGAAGATAAAGGAGAGAAGGGAAATGTGATAGGACTACAANTTAGAATTTTAAAGAGGTATTATTGTTACGCTTTTCTCGAAAGCATGATATAGTTTTTTTTAAGCAGTTATAAAAAAGAGGTATTGTTTAAATTACGAATATAAGAAGTTGTAATATAATAATAACAACAGTAACGGGACAATGAACGAGTGTCGTTAGACTTTTCAGAATACAAGATAAAAACAATATATCAAAGGAAGATAAAGGAGAGAAGGGAAATGTGATAGGACTACAATAGCTTATAAGAACCAAAGTGGGTTTAAGCTGAAAAAATCCTGATGGAGAAGAAAAATAAGATTTGGAAGATATAGTTGAGCCTTTTTCTCGAACACATAGCCAAATATTGCATAGATGTTTGTGCATATCTCATGATAAATAAAGTAAAAAATTTTTTGCCCCTACTAGCCACAACCATTCTTTTTCTACGATCCTCTTTGCCCTGTCATGCTCGTACAATGAAATTTTAAAAATAATAACCATTTTCGCAATTGAATGCTTTGCTTAAGCAACACATTGCACATGTCCTTGGGCATTCTCGTTGTGCATAATCTCGTAGCTCTGGTTTATAACAATTTTCATGCACTTCATAATCCTCATTCCTGTACTTCAGACGAATTATAAGGTGAAATTTTTTGCTAAATTTCGAAACTAAGAAAGAAATTGCTTATAAATAATTTTATAAAATTATAGAAAAATTATAACAGCTTGATATTTCTGTTGTAGTATTAAAAATACTTAAAAAATTATTACTCTTTATTTTGATTTAGTAATTTTTGACCATCTGTCACTCCTAACGCTGCATGACAAGCATTAGCGTCATTATCATAGCATAGATTTGGATCAACCGTTGGACGACGTTTATTATCACCACCAACCGTTTTATTGCAAATTTCCAGTACCGTAGTGCCACCAAATACTGTAGGCAATACGATCAAACAAAGGAACAAGAACATTGTTTATAGTGAATGATATGAAATGACAAAATTTCCAACTTTTATATGCTCTAACTTTATAAAGCGAAAAATTTGTTTACATTTCAAACTTTTAATATTAATTAACAATTTTCGCCATAATCCATTCATACATAACAGCTGATAACAATGATTTACGCAAAAAAAACATCCGACTTCATGAACAAACAGATTATTTCGATATTTCGATTGATTAGGAACTTCTGTAATTAATAAAATCGCCATCATATTTTACAATCTAATTTATAACTCTAACGTTTGGGAAACGTTTCTAACGTTTCTAACGTTTGGGTTATCAGTTGGGAAACGAATTAATCGCCTTTTATGGATGAATTTCAAGAACATATCTGAATTTACAAAAAAAAAGTATTAGCATAATTTTTTCGAAATAAATGAGGAAATTTTATTAATCGGTGATTAAATGATTAAATTTTTGTTTATATAATTGTTGCTTATCAAATTAACTTGATAAAATATTTCCAGACTATTTGATCGAAAGCCATACTAGAAAACTTCTTCTTTAGTGGTAATTACACGTTTGCTCAGCAGCGATAAAACGTCCTTCGCATGAATCTCAGTTCGAGAAAAATAGTACAAATTAAAGATTGTTTTAAAATATTGCATTTTAAAACTTTTCATAAAATTTTTCGTCAAAATTTCTTTTTTTTAAATTTCAGTTATAGTTATTTTTGGTTTTTATAAAAATTTGACTAACATTTTCTGCTAGGAGGAAATTTTTTTTCAAATTTTTTTTAAACCTATTTTATTTGCGCTTATACACAAAAAAATATAAATAAATAAATCTGTTTATGATAAATTTAAATATAAAAATGTTTTACAGTTGAATAAATCATGCGGTTTGGTGATTAATAGTGAATTTCTTCCATTGTAGTCGAACAATGGTTGACGCTTCTTGTTTTCTTAAAAATATTAATACCATTTGTAATAAATTGGCTAACGAATATTGATATTGTTGAAAAAAAATCGTTTCACTTTTCCAAATCTCATTAGCTGTGTAAAATCACGGATCTCAGATCGGATCTCAGATCTCAGATAATGTTTAAAATTTTTCTGAAATGGCTTGCAGCATTTTTTGGAAGTTTTTAGAATATTTTTTAAATTCTAGTTCATCGTTCATCGTTCACTTCATATTTTCCATTCTTATTTCACAAAATTTCTGATTTTTTGCCAAATTTTATAGCTAAATTTATGTTCTAAATTAGTTCCAAGAAAAAGAATAAACAGCTTTTGCTCTTGAAATTTTTGATATATTATTTGAAATATTTAATAGTGAAATATCACTCGTTCGAAATTATTCCCCAACATATCGTTTCAGATTTTGCATTAATCTTGCCAGTCATAGTCAGTTGAGTTTTAGATCGAGGAACCTAATCGTTGGCTAATATAAAGGTCTCTTGTTTGATTCAGTCATATTGGCTATTAGATAGATTTTCGATGAATTATATTTTTGCTATGAATAATTTAGAATTAATAAAATCCAACTAAAAATTTGTGATCAATTATTTGCATATTTTTTTGCTAATTTTTTTTCAGAAATTTGGAAATAATTATTCAACATGACTTTTTCTTATGCGAAATTAGCATTGGTTCCTCTCCAACAAAAAACTGCTGGCAAAAATTATTCAAATTTTTTATTACAACAAGTTTATTATTTATAATTTATATTATTTATAAAATATTTCATTTTATAATTATTTCATGAAACTAATCACTAAATTGAAGCCAAATCTTTTTTATTTAAGAAAAAAAAATTTTGCTTATTAAAAATTTACAAAAATTAAGATTATCAAAAATTATTTCAATAAATTACCAACGAATTAATTATTTATTTACTTTTACTTAATTTTTTCGCCAAGACAGACCAACAGCTCCCAAAAAAATAATCGAATTGTGCTAGTGGTAGATTTTACGACTTATCGACGAACACATAGTCCACAAGTACGCGGACAAATGGTACTCAGAACCNTCGATTCTTCAACAACATCCCTTTTCGCCCCACGTCGTAATCGCCAACTTGCATGGCGATAAGAGCAGCTTTAATGCTAAGAGTATTTTGATTAAGAATTTAATTTATTGAATTAAAAGAATTTTAAATATTAAAAGAATTTAATTTATAAGAGATAAGATGAAATCTTTGTTAATATGTTTGATTGTTTGATATTTGATATTTAAAATGTACAATTTTATACTAAAACTTCTTTCGTTGCGTTATTATCATCGCATCGATTTGACTCAATTCTTGGCACTTATAGACTCAACCTTTAGACGCTGTTTATCACCAAAATTGATAAAACTAATCAAAACAAAACGCCGTTTATCACCAACATTGATAAAACTAATCAAAACAAAAATCATCATAAATCAATTAAGTGGATTTGATTAGTAAATATTAGAAATTTTGTAGATGCGTAAATATTTATTTCATATTTGTCGTAAAATCATCAATGTTTGTGAAAAACCTAAATTGAAGGCTTTGAAGAGAATGGTTTATCTTAGATATGTGAATGCTTTTCGAAGAAGGAACTTCGAAATGGAGAAACATTTTAATAGTGAAATATGACTATTCATATAGGATATATAGAAAAAAAACTTAGGCAAAAAGCAATTCTTAAAAATTATTATCAATTATTATCAGAATTAACAATAGGATCAGTTGAATTTCATAGAATCACCCATGTACACCTTTCATTTCCTCTAAAATCTCCTTAAGAGTAACAAGTCAACACTTAGTACAATTCTTCGTTGGCTAATAGCGAGAAAATTTTTTCTCGAAGAGAATTTAAAGGCACATTTATTCTCGCTTAGCGGCGATAAACGAGCCGAGGAGTCTTAGTCGAGGCCTATTCGAATGTAATGGCCAGATTTTTTGAAAATATTCACATCTTTTTTTCAGTCTCCTTTTCTATCATTCTATTTGTCTTCATATTTTCTTCATTTTTCAAGTATCCGCCAAATGAAATGAAATTTATGACTTTCGTGAAAAAAAAAGAAAATTTCGCATGAAATTTTTATTAAAAATTTCAATCGCATTAAAATTTTCTTTAAAATTTTATTTTTTCTAATCTTATTTGAATCAAATAGTATTTTTATAAAAATTTGATTAGTATTTTTTTTTTGATGAAGGGAAATTTTCCAAAAACTTTTAGCAGTTTTTTTATTTATTTTTTATAGCCATCTTTTCATATAAAAGAGTTGAATAAACAAGTTTGGCAAATAATAGTGAATTTTTTTGAGTGCAACCAAATTGTGGCTGAAATTTTTTGATAAAAATTTAACATAATAAAATGATAATATGATAATATGCTCTCGCATTTAATCTTCTTCTTCCAACAGTTCTCACCATTACTGGTTAGATTGGCTCCAACGACTACAAGGGTAAGACGCTTCCAACCTGCGCGGCCTGATGCCATCATCGACAGTAACTAAACCTTATTATTTAATATCTCCCTTTATCTCATTTCAATTATTTATTTCTCTTTACAAATTATAGAGTCGACGTTAAGGTGATTAACGCTGGAATACTTTATAAATACCATTCCAGTACCATTCCACATCGACGGAAAGTATTGAGCTGGAATAAAGGAAAGAAGAACATTATGAAGATTGCATGGTTTTTTTAAAAAAATCGTTTTAGAAATCGTAATTATTAAAAATTATAGTTATTTACACCTTTCAAATTAGTGGCTTACAAATATATCAAACCTTAGACATTGTAATGAACTTCAGAGTGTAGAGGCAATGGTCAAGATTGACCTGAAGCTCATATAAATTTTCAAAGAAATGCAAATTCTTGTGACCACCTTCAAAAATTGATAAAATAATAAGTAAATTAGTACAATAAAATTGTTTGCATGATTTTTCGCTTTTTTAATAGTAAATTTCAGAGACAATCCATTATCACAATGTTAAACAATGTTTCAACAATGTTTTAGAATAAATTCATTTAGTGTAAAATCATAAAACTCTAGTTTAATAAAATCTCTTTTTTTATAATCTTATACCATAAATACGATAATAAAAAATTATCTCTTCAATTATCACCAATCACTTTAGATCACTTATCACTAAAATCCTATAGTTGAGATTTGGGCATGTTATTTGACGGATCTTATTTACTTTTTCTTCTTCTACAAAACTGTACTGATTCTCCACCGAGATATTTTAGAAACAACCTATTTTAGAATTTTAGATACCTGCAGCCAAAATAAAAAATGCGTAATAAATTATAATTTCGCATAATAATGCAAGCTTTAAATACATTTATTTCATAAATAAACCAGAAATAAGTCTGAATAAATTCAGGAAAAATTTTGAACATAAAAAGTGGACTAGCAATATATGGACTTAGACGATGAAAAAAGGAATGGCTTCTATTATTTTCAATGATGGATCGAATAACTTAGAGACGTCTCATTTTTTGTAACCAGTTAAGCCAGTCTAACCAACAATGGTGAGAGCTATCCGAAGAAGAAACAAAATACATCAAATTTATTCATATATTATTATTTTATCAAATTCTCGAGTTTTCACCATTATTTGACTTTTTAGATAGAAAGAGGATGGCATTATCCAATCCACTCGATGATCGCCTTCAGTTATTTTCTCGCAATATTTAGCTCGTTTTTAGACTTCAAAATTAATAAATTCATGGAAAATAAATTCTTCATCCTTTAATTATACAATAACAATAGATTCAATAACAATAGATAACATTTTCGATTAGCTTCATTAAAGTCAAAGAATAAAGAAATGAGGCCATGAGGTAATCCTCCATGTTCTAAACCTAAATCTAAGTAAATAAGCCACAGCTTTATTACATTATTTATTTAAATGTTCATGAAAAATTTCAATAAATAAAAAATTGATTTACCCAGGAATGGATTAAATGAACCAATAAAGAATCAAATAAAAGAAGAATAAACAAAGTTTGTCGTCATTCATGCTTCGAAATTTATAACATTAATAACTACATTAATGAAAAATTCATTTTAAGCCAACCAAGTATCTTTCATTACCAACCATGGAATAGCGGCAGTATTTATCTAAAACCTCGTTCAATGTGCGTTGTGTAGGACAGATATCATTGAGAAAATGTCGTATCTCATTCGGCCTCCACTGAGAACGCAAAGAAAACAGTAATTCCATTCTATAAATCATCCAAATGCCATTTATTAGCAATAAATTCAATATAAATGTAAGTAGCTTCTAACTATTTTACCTTTTGTATTCATCTTCAGGCATTTCTTCCGCATTGAGATAGCGAATAGTCTTGCCGAATGCAATATCTTCATCTATGAAAGCCAGACCTTCCAAATACTCATCCTGAAAAAAAATAATTGTAGCTCTTTCAATTTTTCAATTTATAAAAATATAATAAACAACTTTTGTACATTACACTTACTTTCATTTCTACACCATCTGGTAGCATCTGATCCAGTTTTTTTCGGAAAGACAACAAATCAAACTTGACAGCTGATCGCAAGAGCTGTGAAGCTTTCGATCGACAGACTGCTCGTTCATTAAGCATATATCTGTCACCTATAGTGAATTGGGAAATGAGAAAAATATATTCAATTTGATTTAATGAATAAAATTTAGGATAACTGTAAAGTATATGAAGACCAAAAGCAATTTGATTTTGGCAAAAAAATCCTCATTTCAGAAGAAATTTTGATTTAAAAATTAGCGAAAATTTTTTAAAATTTTCATTTAGCAAAAACGTAAAAAAAATTTTAGACCTTCAATAAGTGAACAATGGCTCTTCATTAACCATTTTACAGCTTCGATAGAAATATCCTTTTTTGATGAACGTCTCATTAGTGCATTAAAAAATATTTTATAATCAATAGAATAGGTCTGAATATCTGGTTCACTTTCATCATCAATATAATCAGTTAATTCCATTAATAAGCGATCTATATACTCCAATGAAAGCAATCGCACGTTTCCTAAATAAATTTTCGTTATTTTCAGATAAAAAATGTTTCAAGCAAACATTCCTTATATTCTTACTTACTCTTCCAAACTATTACCGTCAAGGAGAACGATTGGTAAATTTTCAATGCAATTTCTCAATTCCTCTTCGCTCATTTGCACAATATCCAGTAAATCAGTAAATGTATATCTAAAAAAATATTTAATATTTAATAATATTATATAATAATATGTTATAAAAATATGCAATATTTAACTATATTTAATAATATTAATAATAATTTTGTAATAACGAATTATAATAATAATAAAAATAATTCAAAAATTTAGATTTCCCGCAAAAATAATGAACATAAAAATATAAGAAATAAAATGTCGTTCGAAATAAATCTTGAAAAAAGAAATTTTTTTGAAAAAAATTCAAATTTCCTCTACAATTTCAAATTTGGCGTCGTAGAATCATTCCATTTTAATTGGCTTTCGCATAATATCTCCTTAATACGACGAGTCGACAAGACTGTTAGTCGAGTTAATTCAAGATAACGTGTTTTCATCGCGGAAACCTTTGAAATTAACCAATTAACAATAAAAATTTTACAGAATCATCAAGCCTAAATAAATATGGAAATAAATATAAAATCAATAAAAAAACTTAAATTCTTTGGAATTTAAATAAATACATTACGAATTTTAAAATAATTTTCTCGATCATTTATTTCATTCCAATTCAGTGAATCCAAAATCAACAATGTATTCGATGTTTCTGCTTCTTTTACTCGATAAGTCTCGCTTGTAGTACATAAAACAGGAAAATCATCGATTTGGCCACGAAATATCAGACTAAAAATAAATCACAAAGATTTATGAGAATTTACAATTTTACAATCATTCATTTTGAATCATATTTAAAATATAATTGAAAAGATATTCATTTTGAATCATATTTAAAATATAATTGAAAAGATAAAAATTAATTAATGGTAAAGCGACCAAAATATACTGTATATATATATATATATATATTTAAAACTTTTCTCTTATCCCTTGCTGATGATAATCCTCTGGCCCTGTACCAGAAGTCTGGGAAATTGAGAGTTCTGAGAGTATTTTAGTTGTTCCTAATAGCACGTTCCTCTGGATATAGATCTCTGATGTCGTTCCTGGAATCTGCTGAAGCCATTTTTCTAGTTTAGAGGTCACAAATGCTCCAATTATTACTGGAATCACTTTGGCTTTTACTTTCTACTTCTTCTCTAGTTCTTCATACATGTATATAAACCGTTTGTATATATATATATATGTTTAAATACATAAGAAATTCACACATTTCAGAAATATATCAGCAAGATGGCACCAAAGGATAAACTGCTAAGAGAATGTCTAAAGCATGCACATTAGAAAATGATCAAGCATATCAAGAAAAAGCAAGGCCCTCCATGGATATCGTTTCACCTACATTTGACATGAGATATTTGACATAGAAAAATCCTACCAGGAGCTGGAAAAAAAACAATTATAAATCATAGCAGCACAGGAGCAAGCACTAAGCAGATCCAGATCCATCGAAACAAGGCATTAGACCATTCACCACACTAGACAGGATTACAGTTGCAAAAAACTCCAACATATAGTAGCAGGATGTAAAATGCAAGCAAAAACATAAACTGGAAGAGCAAGCAAGTAACTAGTATCTTCTTATTTTTTAATAGCTCTCACCATTACTGGCTAGGCTGTTTTCACTGGTTACAAGAGTAAGACGTTTCCAAGCTGCGTGATCTGATGCTATCGTCGACAGTAATAGAAGCTATTCCATTTTCCATCGTCTAAATATATATATATTACTGGTCCACCTATACGTTCAAAATATTTCCTGACTGTATTAGTCCAAATCGTGATTGGTTGAAGAGTTCAGCAAGTAACGAGATATGCCAAATTTTGTGATGGACGACGAAAAATGTGCCCTAACCAGTGAAAGTGACGCTCTATGATGGTACTCTTAGTGCATGCTATTTGAGCAAAGGTAGATGCGATCATATTTATCCACTCGGAGATTTTATTCACTCAGTGAACCCTTAAAATGATCCCTTGAATATACCTCACTAAATATATCATGAGTGGTCAAGGCAGATATCTTCTTAATATCCACCACTTTCATTAGCCATATAGCAATAGAAGCGGACTTTCGTTCTTATGGTGACTTCGCGACGGCTCAATAAAGGCTTTTTTAAGGCTTTGTTGTCAACGGAAAACATTTCTACTTGCTGTTAATCGGAATTGCATTTTCGTCTTTTGCCTGGCCATCTGATGTATGATGCTTCTGATTAGAGTGGATCCAAGGTTTTTAAAAATCGGGCACTTTCTCAACCGACAATGAGTTTATGAAGAGAGATATTTTATCAGCTTTTGATATATAAAACAAAAAGACTTTCGTTTTACTTAATTTTAACGTATATTTATATTTTCTTCATAACTGTCAGCAAAAAGGACCACATTATCAACGCAATTTGATGTACGATGCTCCTACATTTTACATTTCTTGAATGCCGACAAGCAGGAGTATCCATTATTCAGTCCAATAAATCGCATAGTTGAATATTATAAGGGAAAGAGCAGCCTAGGGGAAAGGACATTTTCGAAGAAATGTACCAATTTCATATGTATAGACGTACGTCTTAAGCTGGTATCATCTAAAGGAATATCTGCTTAGATTTTCCCAACAAAATCATAGAAATAATAAGGCGAAAATTCATATCCAAATAGAAAAATAGAAAAACACGAACTGGCCAATCAACCAGATATCGTGATAAGATAAGAGACAAGAATTAGAAATCAATACCGGTGATTGATATGGCTGTACCAAGCGATAAGAACATCAGAAAGACGAAACATGAGAAGTTAGAGAAATAGGCTGAAAAGGTTGAAAAAGAAATTGGATAACAAAAACGTGGAAAGTAAAAACCAAGGTAATTCCAGTGATGAATGTAACATCTGAAATTGTGATCCCTAAGTTAGAAAAGTAGCCTCAGCAGATAAGAGAAATAAAGGCTTCTATCTAGAATAACAAGAGCACACTATTTGGAACAGGTAAGATAGTGCGACACCCTCCCAAGCCTTTGGTAGGGGCCCAAGAGCAAGGATGATCACGCCCACCCACAAGAGAATGAGGAAAAAGTCTATATATATACATATATATATATATAAACTTCATATATTAACTTAGATATATATATATAAGTTTATAAGTTTCATTAGTCTATATATAAGTTTCATTTTCATTTTCTAGCCAGACACCGTAAGAAAAAGTAGAAAAAGCGATAGTTAAAGACAAACTCCTTTTTTGACTCAATCATATCAGCTAATTCTTCAGTAACTTCCAGTAATCGATAATCATCCGAAAGAAAAGGACGTGAAAATTTGATTTGTTGTATGGAATTCTGAAATAAGAAATATAAAAAGGAGATGGATTACATTATTATTATTAATTATTATTAATTATTATTTATTATTATTATTAGCACTATAATTATCATTTGATGATATAAAAGAATTATAAAATTATAAGAATAGCAAAAATGAAGCGATAATAAAATAAAATAGGTAAAATAATAAATTTAATTTTTCTAAAAGAGATGGAATTTTTACCTTTAAATGAGATAATTTGGCCGTTTTAAGCATTTCTAATGCATTATTTAGCTCTAAATCTTCTTCACTAACTATATCCGAACATAACGAAGTACCAACTGGATTTGTCGCCTGGAAATATGAACCATGCAATATTCATTAGAAAAACAAAAAATCCTTCATCTCTGCCTTTGAGCCCTAATTTTATATTCAACAAGCTTAAAGTTTTTATATTTGTTCAAAACTTTAAGAAGAACTAAGCAGTAAGAGGTGTGGAGAATTAATTTATTAAAATTTTTCTTCATCTTCCATCATCCCGAGTAATGCTGGCGACTCACCTGTATATCTATCGTCAAATGACAATGTTCTTGGCAAATTTATCAGATCGGATAAGCCAGCATAGCGAGTCTAACTAGCAATGGTAAGTGCTCTCAAAAAAAAAACACCATCCTGAATTAAGTTTCACTAGTGGCTACTGAAAAGAACTGTTTTTCACCCGCTCAATCCAAATTTTGTGATTATTAAAAATATAAAAATAAGTACCAACAATAATCAATCGATTTACCTGTGGAGAATTTTCTTCACTAATATTATTGTCCTTAAAATCCATTACAACTGATTTCTTCTTCGTTAAAAATTTTTCCATTGCCAAAAAAATCTAAAAAATGAACTTTTTTTGCGATAATTTTATTTTAAAAAATTGAACAAAAACAAAATTATCAGCAAAAAAAAAAAATTTTAGGGTAATTCCAATAGAATAATAGTAATAATAAAGCAATTAGAAAAAAAGCACTAAAAAATTTTTAATTTTAAATGAATGAATTTCGATAGATTTTTTAAGGAAAAATTTAATACTATTTTATTATTTATCATATAATTGCTATTTTATTTTATTTATTATTTACTGATATTTAGTATTATTATGCTATTATTTAATAAAATTAACATAAAATATATAAATATGAAATAATAAAATTGATAATAAAATATAATGAAATTTTAAATTTTGCATTATTATTAAATTTATATTAATTTTTACATTATATATAAATTCTTTATTACTATCAAATTATAATTAAATTTTTTATTATTTTTGCCTTTGAATTTATTATTTTTAAATCAATGTTCATTATTACTGTTTTGAATTTATGACGGATTATTATTTTTATTATTTATTATTATCTATTTTTCGAATTTTCGAATTTTGTAAATTATTTTATAAATTATTTCATTACTTTTGAATTTGTAAATTATAAATAAATTACTTTCATTACTTTTGAACAAATTTTATAGGTAATTAGTTGTTAAATCATAAAGTTGTTAAATTAATGACCCCAAATTAATAAACAAAATAATAAATAATTAAGAGTATTCCCTCAGGCACCACAAATATCAGAATAAATTCAAATTTCCCGCTAAATTGATCTTTTTAAGAGAAATTTATTATATTAGAGCGAAAAATCAGGAAAATGATTTAGGTTATCCTTACATCCACAAATACATAATCAAAAGAAGAGGGGCAATATTTGTGACTTAAGGACATTCTTTTAGTTCCCTGAAGTTTATGGGGCTCTTCAGATCCCTTCAAATTCCCCAAAGTTCAACGATCAGCACCATCAGAAGTACTTATTTCCTATACAGTAATATTAGCCGAAATTCTCTATGGTCATTTAATATTCTAGGTTATCATCGATTGGGTTTGATTTCATGATCTCTACCGACGAAACATTTATTATTTGGCCTTACAAGAACCAGTTCGCCAATAAATCATTCATTATTTCTGGTTGTGGCATAGAATGGCTCAATGGGTTGTTGCTCAATTCATGTTCCGATTCTGAGGTTCCACAGGAGCAAATCTGTCCAAAAATCCGCGTAATTCTATCCTTAGGTCGGCAGTGATTATTCAACAAAATAAAAAATCGCAAAATAGCCTTATTGTAATATATATATATATATTATATATATATATATATTATATATTATTGAAAATATTGCCCAATGCGACAAAATATATATATATGTATAAAATATATATATATATATATATATATTATATATATATTATATATATATATATATATTTTATACATTTTTGAAAAAATTACCCATTTTATAAACGATTCTCGTAAGATTTCGGACAAATGAACCATATCAAATTTCATAGTGTATAGAAGAAAATTGTTAGGCTTAGGCTTACGAAAAAAAAAATGTTTCTTTTTTTTCACCAGTAATTTACTAAATATGTTACAAATATGAATATGAATATGAAATTTACGAAAAAGCAATTTGATCTGTAAAATTTTAAGTGAAATAGTTATTATAGAATAATAGTTTAAAAAGATAGAAAGTATTTTTTTAAAAGACTCCTCAGAGTTTTACTGGTTAAACTCGCTCTACTGGCTTGTCGCATTGGGCAATATTCCAGGGAGTTCCTTGGTGATAGAAATATAGATGAGTCGCCAGCATCACCCGGATTTTTGCATAGGTTTACTCCTGCGGGGAATCGAACCTCAGCATCGGCGCTCACAATCGAGCAACAACCCACTGAACCATAAAAAGATAGAACATATGTATAGTCATTCGAATTCTAGCTTTTTTTAAATGATAGCTATTTTTGCTATCTTCAATTGACAACAGTAGTCCAATCCATATCTCCTATTTTCAGCTTAAATATGAATTTTCTCCTAATTATGGTAAGCAGTCTAAGTATGTTTCATGAAATTAAGAAAAGTGGCTTAGTTGAATCAGTTTAATTATAAATAAATAACCTAAAATTTTGTAGGTAAAAAGAAAAGAAAAAGGATGATTATAATACAAAATTTCTATTACTTAATAGGAATAAACCTATTACTGGAAATTAAATCGCAGTTGCTGAAAATACCTCTTTGTACGCCCATTCATAACTTATCACCAAGGTTTTTAGGGTAGCTAATAACTAATGAAGCTAGTGAAACCAGAAATGGTGCATACTATTAGGAAAGGAAGATTATTCAGTTCGAGATTGAAATGAGGAATGAAAGTTATCATCATCTTATCGTTATCACTATCATCTTATTGCAATAGAAAATTTCAATAATCGTGTATACCAGCTGTTTTGGAAAATATGAGATAAATATGAGCTTAGTGCCGATTAATTAGATAATTAATTTTTTGATAAATGGGTGAACTACAGGTTCCGAAACGATAATCACCTGCTCATTCAAAGCACCAGTTGTTTTATTACCTTTTTTACTACTATTACTTTAAGTACCATAATGGAAATACACGCCATTTATAGGATGAGAATAATATGAAATAATTAATATGTCTACTAATAATGATTAGTCCTTTGTTGGTGCTAATCTGGTTCCAATTATTCTAATTGTTATTAATAAGTCACCATAATATTCACCACCATTAGCACCAAAATCAAATTTTCAAAATATTCATATCGATAATCAAAGGGAATTTTTACTAATCATTTTTTTTGAAACTATTTGATTGATTTAAGAACATTTAAAATTTAAAAATTATCGGTTATTTCTTTAAAATATGGGTATCATTAAAAAACATGAAATGCGAATTATTATATGAAATCTATTGCGATGAAATTTATTGCCGTATAGTTTAGAAACATATGTCGAGCTTGAACCGAATGAAATTATTTAAAAAATTTCAATAAATATTTAATTTTTCATAAAAGTTCGTTCAAAAAATGATAAGAACCGAGACAATCAGTTTTAAATGATAAGAGAATGTTTATCACTTTTTCTTAATAAAAAAAACCATTGAAAAATCGGTTTCGTTGATTCCAGTTGACGCCTTAAGAACGATTCATGCTAAAATCATAAATTATAATGAGTTCAAAAGACTAAAAACAAGTGGCATTGTGAAATTAACAATAGTTAAAATTTACTTGATTAAATATGAATTTTTTTTACGACTAGAATATGAACGTTGTTCTATATTTTTTTCATAAATTTGAAAATTAAAATTAAAAAATAAGAAAAATTCAACAATTGATTCGCTATTATTGATTTATTATTTACATAATTATTATTATTTATTTATTATTTTTATAAAATATTAAAATATTTAATAAAAATTTTCATTTTTGCGTTTTATATGAAGTAAAAAATAATGAAATTTTTTAAATTATCATTTTGTTTTTCACTTATTGTTTTCATATTGTTATTTTCATAAAAAAAAATTTTAGATATTTTTTATTCAATTCAAAAAGAATTGCTCGAATCGAATTTGGTGATAAGGTTTAAAATTTAACGATAACAATAATGAATAATAAATAAATAAATAATGAATCGTTTTGCATCACAACGAAATCTATTTCCACTTAGTTGTAAGGAAATCTGCATCAAATTTATTTTATGTTATCTAAGGATTTTTTTCTAAGTCTTCAAATCACCTTTTTCCTTAAATAATTAAATTATGATATTCATCATTGATTATCAGCGTATCAGCAAAATAATTTATTATCAATGAACTATTAAAATTGGCTAACATTTCAACGATTTCAATTCGTTTCATAGTGAGTTGAGTTTCTCTCCTTTCTCCTCTTTTTTCAAAATATTTTGCTTTGTTTGTCCGACAATTTTGATACAAAACTAATTAAGCGATTACGACTTAAATATTTATATTTAAGCGGTCTGATGCCATCGTCGACAGTAATAAAAGCCATTCCTTTTTCTATATATTGTGGGTCCACCTATACGTTCAAAATCTTTTCTGATCATATATCCTGGAATTATATCTTTTCTGATCGTGTCAATATTCTGGAATTTATTTGATAGAAAGTTCGGATTAAAAAAATTATAGATTAATTGTACGATTTCTGGATTTTAACTCAAACATAGAAATTATTTTATTCTAATTATTTTATTTTGTTTTAATTATTATTATTAATTAATTATTTTAATTATTTATAATTTTTTAATTATTTTATTTTTTTGTTTGTTTCGATTTGAAATTTATTTGAGCAGTTTGAAAATTTCATTAAGATTAGAATTGATTACCTGGCTTTTCACAATTTTTATTTGTGTAAAATAAATATTTCATTCTTTAAGCATCTCTTGTGAAATTTAGTTTGCAAAATTATATGTGCGCCTATGAATTTCGAAATCTCTGTTATTATTTAATATTTTTAATTTTTCATTCATTCCTTCCTTCTTAGCATAATAATTAGAAAATACGATACAGTAATTATTCGATAATTTCCATTTATAAGATGTAGAATGGCTCAATGAATTGCTGCTCAACTCGACGTGCAGATACTGAGGTTCTATTCTCCGTAGAAATAAACCTGTACAAAAATGTCTATGTATGCTGGCGAGTCACTTGTATTTCTATCAATATTACCAAAGGACTCTCCGGCATATTTGTCTTGTGCGACAAGCCAGCGGAGCGAGTCTAATCAATCTAATAGTGGGGTAGATTCTTAAAAAAAAGGGAACGACTCATACCTATATTTTTTTTACTGTAGTTTATTCTTCCTATTTATCTTTTATCTTATCAATCTCGCAAATCATATATCATATATTCACCATTTTAATATTACATTGATTTATCTTGAAACTAAATTTGGTCTCAGAGTATTTCATTTTTCCTTACAAATGAGTTTAAAACTGCTTAAGCATTTATATTGTGAAGAATTGGTTTTATATATTTCATAGAAATATACTGTCCTAAGTTAAGTTGATTAATATATTAATTTTATAGAAATATTCTAAAAAAAAGATTTCTGTTGTAAAGATTTCTAATATTTTTGGTTCCAATAAAAATATTACAGCTTTTAATTCGATACCCAATCCTTGTTTCACCAGTATAATTCCTTCTTTGCACTACTACGATTCGATTTATTTTTTGGTGCATTTGCTGATAAAATGGAATTTTTAATACTATTTTATCATACGAGAAAAAGTATTTCGGATTTCTTTTAACATTTTTTTTAGGATAATTTTTTTCCTAATTGCAATAATTTAAAGCTAAATTAATTTTTATTTTATATATTTTAATTTTATAATTTTAAATTCATTGAATATTTCGTGGAATATTTTCCAGATAATTCGATGAAATGCTTGCTCTAATTTCTTATGTCCAGAAGCGTAGAAGCAAGTTTTAGGTTCGCCTGCTTGAGTACCATTGATCAAAAAATCAATGATTTGTTTTAATTTTACCAATGAATTCACTCTAAAAATTTTATTCAATGTCCAATTCAAATTAAATTGTCTTAATATTAGGAGTTTTCTGCAGATTAATCAATAAAAATACGATTTATATTTATATATCGAACGTTTAATAAATTTAAAATTTGACACTTATTAGTTTAAATAAATAAAATTAGTGAAAGTTAATCAACAGATCAATCAAAATTCTTCTTGAAAAGAAGACTAATGAATTATTAATGATAAAATTTCTTGAAAAATAAACCTATACACCCACCGACTGTTCTAATTATTAATAAATAATTAAATTATAAGAAAATTAAATTTTTGAATTTAAATTCTAAATTATTTAAGCGAAAAAAATTATTTTTTTTTAATACTTTTTTCTAATAAGATGCATTCAAATATTTGAAATTTATTATTTATTGCTTTGAATTTTAACAAATAAAGCTTACTCAATCTATCTTTTTTATTTTTATTTTTTTTCATTGCTTTTACAAATTCTTTTTAAAATTTCTATCATCAATTTCATCAATTTTATTCTTTTCAATTATTTTCCTAATATTAATAATGAAGAATCTCCTAGGAGATATTTGATTCAATCAATCTAAAATATTTTAGCCAAGACTGACTAAAAATATAATCATTAAAACTCTCCAAAATCCATAGATTATATCCATTAAAGATGGTCAAATTTTTTTTTGAACTAATGAATTTTTATTAAAACGAAAAGCAATAATTAATATGAGGAATGGAAAAATTAATCGGTCAGTTTCAGCTTAGTATTTTTAATATATTATAATATTTCTTTAATACATATATTAAATATGTTATAATATTTCTTATTTTTAGAAATCAAGCAGGTTTGCAATGGTTTTCCTAAAATAAGGCTTAGTCTTAATTTCTTAGAACTAAAAAAAATTTTCCAATCCATTAGCCAATTTCATGAAAAATTTCATCATTTTTTTTTGCTTTTAATTTCATTGTTTTTATAATAGAATAATCATTGGTTAACCATTCACCATTCCTAATTGGAATGGCTATAAAGATAACAAGATACAAGTTTTTTCAAGATTATCATTTAGCAATAAAAGAATTGATCGAACTCTCAGCACAATTGCAATTTTTGATTGGCTTATCAAAATAACTTACCAAAATGCCAAATTGTACTTGGACCAAGATAAGCGCACTATACGATTCGATCCTATATTCTAATGATAAAACTTAATTATATATTGTTAGTTTGCTAGCAGCTGACAGCTTTTGTTTTGAATCTAACTTATTACACAATTCATAACAATGCCTATTCAAGTTAATTATTTTAAAAAATATTGATTCCACGTGAAGATCAATCTAAATTATCAGATAATTGGAAAAATTTGATGAGTTTTAGTTGAAAATGATTGATTAAAATAGCACTGAATAGCATTGCGATCATAGCTTATACAAAACTGATAATATTATCATCTATCCAATTCAACTTTAAAATATTTCCTTTATTTCCATCAGTTGTTTTATCACTGCGAATTTTTTTTTGAAATGAGGCTAATATTTATCTGAAAATTTGCTTGAATGCAAGTAGAATGACTATTCATTTCATTTCGTTAGGAATAATAGAACTAATGGTCTAATGGTTTCGTTTTTGCTTTTCCTTCTCATTGCCACCCAAAAAGAGTAAGGCTGTTATTAAAAGATCCAAATGATACTAGCAAACTACCTCTATTTCTATCACCAAATAACTCTATGGTAAAAATTTCCAGCCGTACTAACAGCTAACCTTAGCAAGAAATGATAAGCGCTGCTTACTTACTGCTTCTTTCCTTTATTGTAGAAAAAAACGATTAACGATTAATAAATAATTAATGATTTATAATTTTTTAAATATTTTTGTTCATATTTTTTTATTTATATTTTCTTTATTATTGCTATTTGAATAGCCAAATAGCAAAAAAAGCTTACCGGAAAAATTAAAAGTATTGAACGTTCATAAAATTTTGTAATCGGCCCAGTAGCCTAAAGTACAAAGAAAAGTGAACTATGAAATAAAAACCGTAAAATAAATTTGTATAATTTAATTTAATTTATAAAAATTTATATAATTTATAAAAATTCTCTCCAATTATTTTTCATTGTTCTTTGTAAAGAACGAACTTAAATAGAATAAAATTTTAGAACAAAATAATAGAATACCACAAAATTTTCAGTACAATTGTTAAATTCTGTTTAATTCTGTTGCAACTATGATTTTTCTTATTTATGGATAAATCGTTCGGAATATATATAAGAAGGTAGTATTTTGATAAATATTATCACTATTATCACTAAATATTATTATTGTTATTTTTGTTTTTTATTTTTAAACATATATATTTCAAATATTTAAACATAAACACATATTAAATTCGTTGAAAAGTCATATGTTATTCAGTAATAACTGCAATAACGATGTTCTACAAATTTTTTCAAATAATAATTACTTTAAGTATTAAAGATTAACCAATTTATAAGTTAAAGAAATTAGAATTTTTTCAAGCACAAATTTTTCTCCTAAAATAAGCCATCATTTTTTACCTGTTTGGCTTTATGAGCCAATAAGGGTGATTTTTCGCAGAAAGGATGGAGCTAGTCACAGGCGGCTCACCGCCTCACTTATAACGTGAATTAGACAGCTTGTTTTCAATCAGCAACAACCAAACACCCAAATCGCTATATCTTTGATCTATAATGTCAGATTTTAAATAAAAATATTGGTAACGAAAGATTTATGACATTTTTTAGTAGATTTATTCTTTGCTTTTTTTTTTAATAGCACTCACTATTTCTGATTAGATTCGCTTTGCTGGCTGTCGAATCGAAACAAATTTTATTTGCTCTAGGGAATCACTTGGCGATAGAAATACAAGTAATTCGCTAGCATCGTCTGGATTTTTTCAAAGAACCGATTGTTTCTATGTGCCAGGAATAGAAGAATCTTAGTGTTGCTGCTTGGAAAAGACCCATTAAGGCAATATTTATCATCTATTTGTGTATAAAAAATTTTTATTAAAATAATATATATATGCTAATATTATTTATAAATTTTTCATTTTACCAAAATAACGATAATGAATTAAAATGCAAGCAATAAAAAATAATTTTTAAGATATTTCGAAAAAATTATGAGGTGCTGTTGTTTTGGCTTGCATTTAGTGTGCACAGACGAGCCAGGTGAAGATGAAGCAGCAACGCATCAATGCTGTGGACTAGTTCATATAAAAGTATATATACAGCTTTTTTAAAACTATTTTAGCCTATTTTTCACTTTTATAAATTTTTTCAAATTTTTTCATATTTGATTGCGAAAAGAAATTTCAGAAAATTCATTCAAATTTGAAATTTGGAATAGATTATTTTTAATTTTTTTAATTGTTTAAATTCATTTTTATCTATCGTATTTTTAATCATTGCAATATAAAATGCAAAAGGTACAATGGCATTTTTAATGATATAAGAAGTTCTCAAAAAAAATAAACTCAAACTACATGGATATTTCTAATGAAAAATTTTTATCGCATTTCTCATAAAATATAGCGGCAATAAAATATTCATGGCGAAAGGTGAAAGGTGAAAGGTAAATCACAAATATGCGGCTATCAGCTTCTCTTAACAGCTTACATCCCACTGCTGGTTAAGCTGATTCAGCAGGTCAAAAAATGAGGCATTTTCTAGCATCTTTTACACGATTTAAGGCGATATATCACCAAGCATCATCTATGTTCTCAAAATCTTACCCGCCAATATCAATCCAAGTCTTAACTGGTCCTCCACGCTTATCCATGACTTTCAAATCTGCATCTTTAAAATCTGCATCAGTTTCTATGATAGGTGATTCAACAAAAGTTTCACAAAGTGGAAAAAAGCGTTTCTGGCTACTATTTGGGCGAAATTTTGCCTTTGCTCTTAGCCATTTTTTTTAAAGAGTCCTCACCATTACTGGTTAAAGTCACTCCGCTGACTTGTGGCACTGTACAAATATCCCTTGGCGATAGAAATACAGTTGAATCTTCAGCATCACCCGGATTTTTGGACAGATTTGCTCCTGTGGGGAATAGAATCTCAACATCATAGCCATTAAGCATAATATTGGATCCAAGATATGTGCAATTTCAATTCCGCAAGCAAAAAATTGAGGAAAATAAGTATTTGATATTAGACGGTGAAAAAAGTGGCATAATTATAGCGACTGAATGGTGCTACCACGTAATACATTTAAAGTAAGGAGAAATCGGCGAAAAATAGGTAGACAACCTAACTCCTATATCTCCATGCTAATATGATGATTATTCTTAGCAAAATTAGCATCTTTGTTTTCAGCGTGCCACAATGTACGTTGCTATATCAGCGATTATACTTTGTATTTTTAATGGAATATGCATGTGCCTAGGGGTGTATACCGTCAACTTTGCGCTCGATGTTATCATACTTATTCTTAATGCCGTTTCGTCTCTTATGATTTTCTATGCTTTATATTGTGAAAAGGCTATTTTTTTACTTCCATTCATCATTATACAGGTTAAATTTTTTTGTTTTATAAAAGTCTGAAAAATCTTCAAAAATCGTTCAAAATATCAATATTGTGTAGCGTTTCGATAAAAAAATTAGCGAAAAATATCTTTCAAAAACGCCTGGTTTGTTTCTCATTTCTTTAGATAATTTAGGAATAATCAGTGACAAATATGATATTATAGAGGTGATTAAAATGATAATTATTCATCTTCTTCCGTTAAGTGCGCTATTTACACAATATAAAAAAGTGGTAATCTTCTAAATGAAGGCTAAGGTTTTTTAATCATTTCAGGTCTTTCAATGTGCGGGATTCTTCATGTTGGCTATATATACTTTAGTTTTTACGCTTACTTACAAAAGGCAAACATTTAATAGAAAATTTGGTTGGTTTTGGACCGTTTTTTTTCATTTTCATATGATTTTCTAACTATTCAAATTAATTTAATGATAAGGCAATAGTGATTTTCTGCACTAAAAATGATTGGAGTAGTTTTTTTAGTTTTTTGAAGCAATGAGCGAACTAATATCAGATTCATACGAAACTGTGAGTTATTCTCTAAAAGACGATGTTTCAAGGTTTATCTCTAAAATCAAAATTAAATAAAACCAATAAAGGATACAAAGTCGTTGATACTCGAAGTCATAGATTTCAGATCAAATACTTATGGTAATCAGCATATTCATAGGAATAATACTTGCTGGTTGGGCTGTATGGGTTACAACTAAATGCTATCACTATTTAAGGAGAGAAAAAATTACGACTGTATATAACGAACGGAAACCTAGCTTTTGGTGCTAATATTAAATCTATTATCGTATTTAGTTACATCGAATTCATTCCTCATCATTATTTGTTTCAATTAATAGCAATTATAATTTATTTATTAATGCTTAGATTTGAATGTTTTTTGTTGACAACTCGATTATTTGAAGTTAATTCAAAAACAGTTGAGATTGGCCACTATCAATATATCGTCTAAGACGAATCAATATAGGCTGGCCAATATCAACTATCTATGCAGAACATCTAATATTACTACATTGTTACTTCATTAAACAATTTCTATTTATCGAGTTAAGAAAAAAGCTTAAAAATCTTTGGTAAAGTACAATTTCGTAATATTTTATCATTCTTATTATCACAAAATTTATTTTGTAATTTTTTATGAAACTATTGCGAATAAATTATTTCAATTTTTCTTAATTTCCATTCCGTTCCATTTTTCTTATTTGACTATTGGCTAAAGCCTAGAACAATTTTTAGAAGATCTTCAGATGGTCAAAAAAGCCATTTGGAAATATCAATTTAGAAAATTATTTTTCATTATCCGAAAGTAATTTTCAAATAAGCATAAAATAATAAAAATAATGAAACATAAAAAAATTTTTATTTTAATAAAAATTATTCTTACAATTTCTTCTATTTTTATTACTTTCACTTTTCTAAGGAATTTGCACCAAAAATTGCGATAATTTATTCGTGGTACTATAATTCAATAGCATTTGCTAGAGCATTAAAATTTCTCCTTAACTAATGCTTATTAATGTAGATAAGAAAATCAGTGCAAATGTTATTAAAAAATTGGAAAATCAAATCAATTGCAATCGTAAAATGATTAAATTTTATTTATTGAAAAAAATATTTGTTGTGATAAAAATTAAAATTTATGATAAAAATCTTTAAATGAAAGAAATTAAAAGTAATAAATGAAAAAAAAAATTTGTATAAGTGGAAACGAATCGAATAAATTTTCAAGTATCTTTAATATATCTATATATTTTATATCTATTTTATCAGTTTAACAATTTCGGACCATATCTTCTTCGAAGTTCGAGTTTCATTGCACGTTCTTTTGAATTGAGCCATTCTTCCTAAGAAATTTGCGAAATTTTCTACCCGAAATTTTTATAAAAATTTACAAAAAAACATGAGCAAGAATCGGACTCAGGATCAAGGTAAATAAAACGAAAGTCTTTTCGTCTTATGTAGCAAGAAGCTGATAAAATGCCTCTTTTTGTAAATTCATCGCCGGTCGAGGATGTGCCCGATTTTAAATATCTTGGGTTCACTCTAATACCAAGTGGACAGGCAAAAAATGATATTGCAACTCGGATTACGGAAGATAGAAATGCACTGTTCCGATTGACGAAATCTTTATATCGTCATGAAATCACCATAAAAACAAAAATCCGCATCTATATTGTCGTGATCAGTTCGATCTTACTATATGGTTCTAAGACATGGCCAATGAGAGTGAAGGATTAAGAAGTTATCTGCCTTTGACCGCTCTTGTCTAAGGTATATTACGGGTTCGCCGAGTGGATAAAATCTCACTACACTGCATCCACCTTCGTTCAAATACCATTTGCATTGATAGTGTTATTACAGAGCGTCACATTCGATGCTTAGGGCACATTCTCCGTCGTCCACCACAAGAGTTGTCGAATATTTCAGTACTTGCTAAATCGTGTGATGGTTGGCGTTAAAAGCGAGGTGGGCCAATCAAGACTTCGACTGATACGGTGAGAAAAGATTTTGAACGTATAGGTGGACCAGCATTATATGGACTTAGAAGATGGAAAAGGGAATGGCTTCCATTAGTGTCGACGATTGCATCAGACCGCAGATAGCTTGGAAGCGTCTTACCCTCGTAGCCGTTGAACCCAGCCTAACCAATTGGTGAGAGCTGTTAGAAGAAGAAGAAGAAAAAAACATGAAATCCACTTTCATGCAAATAAAAAAGTTTCAAATTTCTAATGAATTAAATACAAAATAAACTAAACTATTAAACAAATTTATTTAACTTAATAATTTAATAATTTATAGAAATTATTGTATAAATTTTTAAGATTTAATTTCTTCTTTTATGCGTATCAACCTTAGAATTATGAAAATGAACTCTGACCTTAAGTTTAGCTTGCTTCGATTTAACTTCCTGCATTAATTGCATTCGTTCCATTGCGACAAGTTGTTCGTGACTATACAATGGCCAATTCATATTTGACTTTAACGCTTTTTTATCACACCAAGGTGACAATAAAATTAGAACGATTATAGTCATGAATGAAATTGCTGTAAAGATTTTATCAGATTTTGTGGAAAATGAAGAAATTGATAATCTTTCTCTATCTTTTAAATCTAATCATTTTTAGCTTGGCTGCTTCAATCTTGCATGGCATTTTTTGCAGTAGTACCTGGTCAAATAATTATGGGAATCGGAATTTCTAATGGCAGGTTCATCCCATACTCTGAGTTATATTATCTTTAATTTGCTTTTGCTGATGAACTTCTCGGCCAACACAGCAAATATTGTTGTAAATGATATTGTTGTAAAAATTACCTGCAGTAATAATAGCATACCGTTTCATTCGTGCATAATCAGTGTCTGGATAAACCGTAAGCCTATAATTGCTGGATTTTACCGTTTCATTGCTGCTATCATTTTTAAATCGATGGGATGTAGCTGTAGTAACAATGATGGCTTTTTCTGGTGCATGAGTTTGTTCGACATGTGGCGTCCAACGATGACCGAGGTATAGGCCAGTATATGGGCCGAGATAAGGTGTAGTAAAATATGATTCGGATTTTGCTGTGCTATTGTAATTCATATCAACCATATTTCTTTGAAAACCTTCTACACTTGTTTTATTGGATATATTCATAACAGCCGATTTAGCTAAGAAGAAAACAAAAATTTTATTAAAATAATAAAATGAAATGTAAAATAATAGGTACATCTCAACTTTGTAGCCAGTGGAGCGAACCTCACCAATAATGCTGAGAGAAGAAGAAGAATGGTTGTGAAAAATATATCAAATTATGAAAAACAATAAATTTAGCTTTTGATTTCCTAAATTCGGCTATAATTCAAAGTTGGACAAAGATATTGGTGCAAGCTTCTTGTGTCTTGTGAAATTTCTATGAAACCAAGGCAAAAAAATCTGCCTAGCTGCAATGCCCATTAAGTGGCCATATTTACCATTCTTTTATAGTTCTTTAAATTTACTTACCTGAATAGAAAATGCTAAGATAAATCGCAACAAACATCGGACAGGAACTCTTAGCAGTAAGCATAATAAAATTTGTTTAAAAATTTCCTAGCAACTAAGCTTCCAAGCGATTCGTTTTTATTGTTTCATTAAACTACTACTCTAAAATCTCCCTATTACCCTTCCCACCATCCCAAGCCCCTACTCAACAAATTCTTTTATTTGCTCAACGAGTATTCAAACCACAAATTCTCTTAACATCACTTCGTCCAACATGATGAAGGTGGATTTGGACATGCTGATTAAATAATCATGTTAAGAAAGATGCTCAAAATGGCCGCGACCAACAACCACTTATTTTGGACCAGATTTCTGTTAGATTTTTTCTCCCCATTAATATTTGACTATGCGATTGTATGGATTATGCAGATGGTTATATTGATGATGCAGGTCTTTTTAGTCACTACGATGAACTCGAATAGACGCTAGATCATCGTTAATCAAAAACTGTAGCGAAAATTGGATAGATATTGGTTTTATGATACAGGCTTCTTCTATCTTGTGAAACTTCTATGAAATTATGGTAAACGCTAATATTGTTGTATTACTCGATTCAAAATTAAATTTAACAGTTTACAAGCATCGGTGAAAATGGCGAAGTCAAAAAATCTAACCAGTTGCACTATGCACCATCCTATTATATGGTTGCGGAATACCGCCATTGAGGTGAGTTGTATTTTTATCACTTATGCTTAAGATATATTTTATATGCACCAAGTGCATAGGATCTCATATAAATGATTGGCATAAACTGCAAGCTATGCTGATAAGATAAGTCAATTTTTCATCGGTTATTTCACGAATTGATACTTATCTCGCTATTTGCCAAATATTTATTTTGGTAGATGATATGAAATGTACAAATCCATTTAAAGTATGGGTATGCGCAGCGACGTGGAACTTAAACCGTAAAAAAAGCAGTGCTTATTTTCATATATGGTTAGAACTAGTAGCTTGGAAGTGTCGCATTCACGCAGCTAGTAAAGCCAAAGAAAAGAAAAAAGCACCGTTATGCTAGCTTGTCTCTATGTTATTCTCAGTTTTTCTCCTTTTCTTCTTGTTTTTTTTTATTTTCTTAGGAATTTTTCTTCTTACAACTCTTACCATTATTGGTTAGGTTGGTTCCACTGGATACAAGATTAAGGCATTTCCAAGCTGTTCAATCGGAATTTTTAGTTCTATTATATAATATTTTGCATTTTTGTTCAGTCATCATTCTTATCGGTGAAATTAAAATGAATTAAATGAAAGTGTCACTCTTCAATATTCAAATGATTATTAGTCAGTTAAAGGTAGAAATTCGATTCATTTTATTTCATTTTAAGTTTGGAAGTGATTGATGATTATGATGATTGATGTATTTTGAAGATTAGGATATGAATTTTTCGTTTATTCTGGTGAGTTTCCTTGCTATTCACTACAAATCTAACATGACTAACATTGTGCTCTTTCCATAGTCCTTAGGACGGGCACTTCTGTTTAAACTCGCCATTTTCAGTGGTTTCCATTGAATTTACATTATTATATTTTAATTAATTGTATAGGGAAATTCGGAAGGCCGATACTGAGATTTTATTTCTGATTTGCAAGATCAAACTTGTCCAAAAATCCGGATGATGCTGGCGACTCACAGTTTTATTGCCAAAGGACTCTCTGGCATAATCATCTAGTACGATAAGCCAGCAGAGCGAGGAATCTGATTAGAAATGGTGAAAAGGCTTTTAAAAAAAAAATGGATAAATATGGCAAAATTTTAGTGATAATCTTTAGTTATAATTTTTTTTTTGATATAAATAAAATAATATATCAATCATTAAAGAAATATGTGATTGGCGCTCGATTTCTGGCTCCAATAGCTCTGTTGGCCGTTAAAATGGTTAGTACGGTTAACAATCTTATAAATGAGGCCGGTAGCACTTGTTGATAACAATGATAATTTTTCACTTATAGTGGAAGAGGAAACTAGTAATGATCGATCCTAATCGAAATAACTAGCGATTTGTAACTCGTATTTAAAAGTACCGTATATAATTCTTTCTTTTGATTGATTACAATTCATATTAATGCTTGATATACTACTTTTTGTAAAATTTATTGAAAAAACTAATTTAGTTGATGTAACTAATTTGATGTGTTTTTTCATTTCGATTGCGAATTTTCCTCATTTGGTCCTTAATAATATAGCTATCACTGGTCCAGTAATTAAAATGACCAAATTATCTGAATGAAGATTATATCTTTTGACGTACTGGGAATGCATTGCAGTAATATTCGACGGCTCATGCCATTGTTATGGAGCTGTCATTGGTTTCGTATCGCAAATAGCAAAAAGCTCTGTATTAGACAACGATCGAGAATTTGATTGTCCATTTAATTATGGAGCAACTTGAAGAACAGATGGTGGTGAACTAAAAAAAATGCATGAAAGGCATTAGAACATTCTTTCAGTTCTACAAAAATTAATGAACTTTTGCTATAAATGAATCAAACATCAATAATAAATAATTTTTTCTATAAAGGTTGAGGGTAGAATGGCTCAGTGGGTTGTTGCGCAGTTGGAAGCGCCGATGCTGAGGTTCGATTTCCCGCAAGAGTAGAACTGCAAAAATCCGGAAAATCCGGGTGATGCTGGTGACTTATCTATATTTCTATCGCTATGGGACTCCCTGATAATGCGACAAGCCAGTGGAGCGAATTTAACTAGTAATGATGAGGACTCTCAAAAAAAATCAAAAGTTAACAATACAGTAATTTTTTTATAGAGGTTGAGAGAATTTGTAATATTTGTAATATTTTTGTAATATATTTCAGGTAAATGAAAAACGAAGAATTTGGTGATACCATAAAAGATAACAAAAGAAGTAGAGCCATCGATAATAATAATAATAATAATAATAATAATAATAATAATAATAATATGTAAATTCCATCAATTTTTATAAGAAATTTATTCTGTTATGATAATAAATAAAAAGTGATTATTATGATAAAAGTGATTTTATTGTTATGGCTAGCCAGAAGAAAAAATAGGACCATAAACAAACTGTAATTTCAGGAGATAACAATCGTCATTTCCATTTGAAAAATAGAAAAGATTTTGTAATATACAAATTATTCCGATCATAATTTTTTATTAGATTATTTTTTCACGGTCCTTTTAAAATTATGGAATTTTATATTTTGGTAGCAAATAATCAACAATTGCACCATATTCGCCATATATTTTTTAAATAATACATGAATATAAAATTGATATATTCAATGAAAGGCTCATAAATTTATTTTAATGGCTCTTTTTTTTGAGAAAGAGCCAAATGATAAACAAAAACTTATCAAGTACCATACAACTGTACCGACTGATAAGCTTCGAAGACATTTAACACGACGTTTAAGTTGAATTTTGCTTTGGTACATATCATTGAATCAACATTTTATGGCTCGCATATTTCCATTCTCATTAATAAATTGAGAATCTGTTTAGAAATTTTGACAGAGATTATTAAAGGCCTATTTTTTGCGAGAATAGCCTATTTCTAATAGGTAGAACCATCCAATAAAGTACCATTTCTGGTTTGCCTAACTTCCTTATAATAATGAAACAAGTTTTTTAAGCCAACCTGCCGAATATCATTATATCGGATATCATTGCAATTCTCATAGCCATTTGTATTAAGCCATTTTCTATATTTGCTGTACACACTATAATTAACTAGTTAATCGCATTTGTTATGAAATATATTCAACTAATTATTAATTTTGCTTTTTCTTTAATCATCACTAATTTCAATTTTCTTTAATTTTCCTTTAACCAACATTAATCACAGCGGCGAAGAAAATTTTTAAATATCTCAAGTTTTCCAGAATCAAAGTTTTAATTTATTTATGCGATGGCTCAATGGCAAGAGAATTTGCCAAAGAGAAGCTAATGGCTAATGCCGAGAAGGAAAGAAGAGAATGATTCAGTGGTTTGTTGCTCAGTTCGGAGTGCCCTTGCTGAAACGCCTATTCTACTTCTGGTGATAGTAAAGTGTACAGAAATCCGAATGACACTAACGGTGAAAATTAAAAAGCTACTATAGAGTCGTAAAAATGAAAAGTCGATTCGCACCAGCGGTTAGCTTTCCTCGTTAGCAAATTAATTACCGCCAATCAAGGATCGATGAAGTGGAGATTGACGAGGCAGTTTTCATGAGTTCAAAGTGGTGCGTCATAGTTTAGTGACATATGTGAACTGTAGAAATTGATTTTTTGAAAATATAGTCAATATTTTATAAGCACTAAATTACCGCAAAGTCTTTGAGATTCTTCGAGATCGTTAAAAATATTTTAATTTTGATTATACAATTTGTAGAACTAAAAATTTACACTAACATGAAATATTTTGGAATTTTTAAAATAACTTTCAGTTTTTCGGCTATCAGCTCTGATTGAGCATCTTTGAATTTTTATGTTTTTTAGTATATCTTAGAAATTCTGACTACTTATTTTAGAATACTTCAAAAGTTTCGCGTTTAGAATATTTAAGTAATTTAATTTTTGATATTTTTCAGAAATGAATAAATTGATTTATTGAATATAATTTGATATAATTACTATATGACGTTATGTAGATT